TGCTGGAGTATAATCCGGATTTGAGAGGCAGCGTGGTGCTGGTCCAGATTTGCAATCCGGGAGGGAGCAAAGGGAAAGACGTGAGAGAAGTGGAGGGCGAGACCCAGTCGGTGGCGAATTTGGTGAATCAGAGGTTTGGGGGAGCAATAGGAGATTAAAGTCTGATTGTGTTCATCAATGGCAGAGCCCTAACAACTATGGAGGAAGCTGCTTACTACGCCGTCGCGAAATGCTGCGTGGTGAACTGCAAATGGAGTCGCTCTACCATGAAGGCTTTTTGTATCATACTAGACAGTCGTTGTGTCCTCAAGTCCCCAGTCCTACTATTGCATTCAACATTTTCGGGAACACCAAGGTTCAAGTACTTCACTCTTCATTCTCCGATTTCTTCATCTAATATATATGTTATGGGATGGGACATCTGATTCACATTTGGGTTGGTGTTGCATTCTTACTGTTGTTTCATTGATTCACATCTTATTCACATCGGTTCTCACTGGTCGCTCGAGCTTGATGTTTAATTTGGTTGGCTATTCTTCCATTCTCTTCCTTCCTTCATGCAACGATTATAATAAATTCTAAACTAATGTCTTCTATTATCTGGTAATTTCAGTTATAGGCTGTGTGGGTTTTATAGCAGGGATTTCTAGATTGGTGTGTTGGGTTCAAGAACCTCAGTTCTCTGCAAATCAACTATAGTTTTGTTGCATTCAATTTATTCCTCCATTTTCACTCATGACCACCTGGGATTGGGTTCTCAATTCGGCCGCTGTGTTGCACTCTTCTTCTGTAGTTGATGGATAGGTCTGTGTTGGTTTACAACAAGGAGTTCTAGACTGGTGTGTTGGGTTCGAGGACCTCTCCATGCTCTGTGAATTAGTTATATGTTTGTTGCATTTGATGTATTCCTCAATTTTCACTTATGACCACCTGGGATTAGGTTCTCAATTCGGCCGTTGTGTTGCTCTTCTTCTGCAGGTGATGGATTAGCTTTGTTTGTTTCAAAGCTAGCGCTACCTCTGTTATCCCCTTCCCCTTAATATTCAGGGCACTTACTATGCTTCTTTATCTTTTGTAATTTGTTATTACTCTTCTATACAAAGAAAAGGGAGTGATACCCGAGCTCATTCTATTTGTTATTGCAGGTTTGCGGTCTTAATCTATGTTTTATATACAACACATTCAGAATGTTGGGTTCATTAATCTACAACACAAACCAGCTTACATATAAAAGAGGTTCATCATGAGCCTAGAAGGGATATAAATGCATTGGAACTAATCTGGTGCCGGTAACCACTTGAAGGTCTTGAAAATAAGGGTATGTGCTATATATGCTCTTCATCGAGAACTACAACGAAGGCTAGGTTGCGATACAACTTACTATGTTGCTCTGATCTGTGTAAGTTGTTAATGTCAATTATTTAAGAAAAGGGGCTCTTTAAGTTCAATGTCGATGATTAATTCTCTCTTTCCGACTGTTGCTACTGTTTCTTAAGTTCGATTGCAACGGACTTCATAAAAAAGTAGGCATCGCAGGTTAGAGTTTACAATTGGCACCGTCACTTTTGTCTCAATTAGAATTGTATCACTTACCGATTGCATACTGAAATAGTAATAGCGACTCCAGACCTCAGTGTTCCTTTACCTATGAGTTTGTAGCTGGGCTGTCTGGACTTCATCTGCAATACTGTGAATCAGTAAGTTTGATATGTTTTCCACTGTCAAGTCCATTATAAGGGGATTCTTTAATCCAAACAGTTTGTTTCATTGACATTATGGCTTTACATAAATACAAGGAAATGGATTTTAAGATAAAGGTTACTCGATATATGTGTGTTTCTAAAGTGGCAAATGATTATGTATAATTGTTTATGGTTGTGGCATACCTTCTTAATTTTCAAGTGATTTCGACAACTGAGTTTGGGTTATGTAGACCTGTAAAGGATTGCCTTCTTAACTTTGATTTGTTTTTGTATGCAGGTCCTGTATTCAACTGGTGCACTAGACTTTAGTGTTTGGAGATTGCTGTGTGGACGTTATAGTGTACTAATAATGGAGACCCACCCATCAGTGTACCCAACGATATTGGTAAACAATTACTTCATGGAACAATGGATGTTTTGTCTGATATCAACTGGAAATCAGGTTCTTAATTAATAATTTTGTATTGTTATTCAGGGGATAGTTATTTGTACGGAACTGCGGATAATGTGAATAATGCATGAGGACATAATTTATAGTTTGCTAAAGCTTATTCATGTTGACAATTCCTTCATGTATATATCTAGGATAGAATAAATATATCCTTCATCCCTGTCCTCCATCTGATTTTCAGCAATTCAATATTTTAAAAAGTGGCAATTAGTTCACCTAATTGTTAACCCTAAGCCATTTGTACCTGCATAATCCCCCAGCCTATTTACCACAATCAGGAAGTTTGTTTTGTGCATAAATTTGGAGCCATTTTCATAGCTCTTTGAAACCTCAGCTCTTACTCTTTCTAGAGTTTACCGCGGTAATGTATTTTTCTGTTGTTGTATACTAACAAATCCATTGTTGTTTCTGCCGTGTGTTTTGTACATCAATTTATGAATTATGGCTTAATGGCTTATATAGTTATTTTTTTTCTTACAACGAATCATTGACTTGGTTGATAGACAACAATTTTTTTGGTTTACCATAGGTATTTACATTTAGCATATGTGTTTTGTTCCAAGTACGTATTGTTTTGTTGGTGTAATATTGTATAATTCCATATATAGATGAAATTTTATATAATTTATAATTGAATGTCTGTATGAACAATATAATGAATTTTTCATATATTCGGACAAAAGCGGACTATAATGATCGGATAATTAACCCTCAATCCACTTACTAGATTGGGCCAAGGGGCTAAACCTGGTTGACAAGTTTTGATAGTTTTGAAATTCGAATATACAATTTTTGGGTTCCAATTTTGATGATTGAGTCGAATCGATAAAAAAATTGAGGACTTTCAGAGAGTTTGGTTGAAATTAAAATGTCGGTCTTAAAGTTTCTTTCGTGACAGACAAAAGTTTTTATGGTTAATTGTTGTTTGATCGGAGGAAGAGAAACTGGAACGAATGGAGGATGGGATTGCGGCTATTAATTAATGGGATTTGAAGACAGAAGATAATCCATAAAGAGGGGTAAATTTAATATTTCATTTGATATCAGTCCAACCGTGAATTCGACCATGCTTAACAGAATTTTATTGGAAATTGTAACAAAGGACAAGTTTGATAATACATATATACTATATAGGACGATGACATGTTTTATGTGAAAAATAGTAGAGGGATAAATTTGAGAAAAATGAATAATAGATTGACAATTTATGCTATTAACTCAACATGAAAAGTTAAAGATCGTATTTGTAGAGTAGAATTTAGGATTTTATAATGTTTGAATTTTTTGTGCGCATTAGTATCTAACACTTAACAACCCCCACTTATTATTCAAACAAGTCCATACACTAAATTATAATAACCTTTTTCGTTATTCTCTTAATTTTTTATATACCTTCTCTCCTATCAATTCTAAATGACATTTATTTCCTTCCAACTCCGAATTCATATCCGACAACAAGAAATGCAAAAATGTCTTCTAAGATAGGGAAAAGAACACATACACAACAGGAAACTAAGATGACTTTATAAAAAAAATACATACGAACTCATTATCGCTAATATCATAATCAACACATATTATAAATATTACTTTTAAATAATGAATTAACTATTTTAGAAAATCCCAAATTATTGAAAAATATAAAATAAAATTCAGCCGACCAACGGGCGGGTAAAAGCTAGTATTCTTATTATTATGCTTAATCACAAACCTAACTTGCACCAATACTTATACTAATTGACAAATATCCCCTTTACTACCCAATATAATAACCTAATCATAATACTCCTCCCCAACAATAAACCAATATCATAATCAGATGCTGACATGGTAGAGGCTGCAGTAAATAAATCTTGCTTTTCATAAATAAATAAAAATCTATCAGTCGTTACAGAGCTCCAAAACAGGGATGTCCAGTGCAAAGGAAAATAAAAGAGCTTCAGAAAATAGCACAGAGAAAGGAAAAGAAAGATGCTAATGTAGTAACAGGGAAGATCACATTTCACCAGCTTATAATATAGCAACACCTAATTCTTCTATATATAAAAGCCAGGTTTTTTGGCTGAGAAGACACCAGGTGTTGACACCTGTCCAAACACCCAGAAATACCCATACAACTTTTCCATATATTACAAGTTTGTCATTCGTGTTTCATATTGCCCTGTAATCGCACTTTTTTATTTTGTCTCCTCTGCCTGTTGCCGCCGCAATAGCTAATGCCTTCTCCGTATCTGAGCTCATTAAAGTGGATTTCGGCTTGATAAACAGAAAATGAATAGAAATCATCACTTGTATAGTTAAACGCTAAGGCCTTCCGAGCAGCTAACTTACCTTGAGGTTTACCAATAAACGGCAACACTCTATTGATGAAGTTCTCCAAATTGTGGCAACCCGCCATCAAGTTTGGCTTGCAAGTCGGACCATGTAAATTGTGTATCAGATACCTAATTTACGTGCATGGCAGTGTCATCATTTCCTAATATTTCGTAACACAATAGTCGGGAGTCTTAGAGAGAATAGGAAAATGACATACGTAACAGGAATGCCAGTATCTTTTGCATCATTACCAAAAATACCTATCCCTTTACTTTTTGGTAACTTCCCTGCAGAAGACAACCACCATTCACTCAGTGCAGACTCACACAGCTTAGGGAAGTGCTTGCTGACGCTGTTGCTGAGAACTGAAGTTTATGACAATATTATTAAGCTGTTGATTTACCATCCTCCATAGTTAAGTATTCTGTCACACTTATACTCTTTATCATGGTCCAACTTTCGCCAGTTCCAATAAGTGAAGGAAACATAACTTGAATAAGAGAATATCCTAAGAACTAAGAAGGTTAACTTCATTCCATCAATAGAACACAAACTATGCGGACGACCAGCGCAGGCTGTTACCAGAGAAACAATGATCATGATCAATAGCATCCTGTAAATTATCAACTCCCTGCATGCCAGGCATGAATACCTATGACCTAGAATTTTCTAACATACATAGCTATTCCAGGCCAAACAGGATTCCCTCTATCTTTTCCTTTTCAGAAACGATCCTGTTAAGATATTAATGGGGCACATGAAGCCGAGATCCACAGAGGCCAGGGTTTCCACTAACCGTTACTTGCATAAACGTGCCACTAATTTCCTATATTCTTAAGTATCACCAGTAGACAAAGTAATAACAGGTAGTAGTTAACCTAGACTTCATATTCCCCGCATTTAGAGCTGGTACCAATAAGGAGGACATACCGTGTGAAAGGGGACATTATCCTTCCTCATGAACTGATACAACTCAATGTTTTCTAGATTCTTCCACCACTTCTTCCTGTCTGGAGTGTAGCAAGCTGTGATTGAAGCATATCTGGTTGGAGCATCAAACCAGACGTAGAAAGCCTGGCAAGAGGGATTGTACAAGGTTATCAAGCTCATGAAATGTACATGTAGCAAACGTGCTACCAAACAAAGGCCAAAACAAAAATTTGAAACTTTTAACAAAATTAGAATAAGGCCAAAGTATGTATCTATCGAGAAAAGACAAGCCACAAGAAGATAGAAATATGATTCGGAGTTCTGACCTTCTTCTTTAAGCCATGCTTCTGTTTTCCCCCAATAGCATTCAGGCTCCAAGATCCAGCTTTGGACATGTGGTCAATATATTTCACGGGTTGATCCTAAAGCAGGGAAGCTCAAGAAACTAGTGTTCCATCTCGAGAATACGTGGACTGTTACCATAGACCTGTTAAAAAATGATAAATAATGGAGTACAGACTACACTAAGCTGAGCCACTAACATCTAATGCTAAAATCTTATGGGAAGTCATGGATACATAATACACTAAGATGAATCATTGACACTGAATGCCTCGATTCTCAAAATTGGTGCAGGGTTGGAGAACATCTACGGATAGACATGAGTTCCAAATCCAGAGAAGAATAAAAAAAATAGGAACAGTATAGTGTCATGTGCAGAGCAAATGTTCATAGTAGCATCGCTGCATGCCCTGTGCCTTTCAAGCAAGCCGCTAAATCTTGCCCTCATTCAACCAAAAAATACAAAAGTCCTTCACTCACACACAAGTAAGCAAGTATCTATCTAGAGGAAAGACACTTCAACACGGTTCCTATAGAGCAAAGATTATGTCCAATTACTATATCCACAAATTCATCAACGGAAACCTTGCAATAACATAGTCAACACCGCTCCAGCATGCTGCAACTGTTGATCACTTGCACAATCATTAAACAAGAAATAACACACTTCCTTCTTACCTTACACTACACATGGGTTCTTCAACTAAGTTGCATCCACAGATACTTTGGCACTTATCACATTGATCTCCTCTTGCAGAGTAACAGCCACACCTTTGCGTGGACAAGTACCCTCCACAAGGCGATCGGCCAAGAACTTTGAGCATGTGTCGCAGTACAGCTGAAAGAAAGGAACGAATAATCAGCAAGCAAAGTACAACGCCATGGATAGACACATATTTCGCGGCCAAACATGAAACCATGATGAACAGAATTCATCATTATCTACCTACCTGCTGCATTTTGCTCTCAGAAATCCAGTTGTTCTCCAATAGTTTCTTGAAAATAGATTGGGCGACTCTTTATCTTATGTGAGATAAACTTACATCCAAACCATTCATAAAGCTCTCATGAATTGCATTGTATTTGGTACCTATCAAAAGGGGCATGAATGACCCAGGCTTTGGTTTCAGTTGCAGTTCCATACTCATCAGTTCTACAGATGTATATAGGCATTGTAGCCTCGCAATCCACATTATCCAGCAAATACATCAGCTCTCAACACACCTGAAAAAACGAGAGCTCAATCCGATGAACAAAAATTAGGGTTCGTGAGTCAGACAGAGAGACAGAGGAAAGTGAGCGGAACTACTTACACCCGACGGTATCTCCGAGATGAGGGACGTTATTTTTTTTTTTGATGAATAGATGAGGGACGTTATTGACATAGGGCAAGGCGCTGGTGATGAGGATGTTTCGCTTGCTCAATTATCTGAAGATTGAAACAAAGACAACATCAATTATCTGAAAGAAATACTGAAGAAGGATGGACCATTCATAGGTTGGTTCCGAATGGTCAAAGATTACCCCAAAAAAGAAGGTATCTACTATGGTGTCGGAGATGATTTCGTGGCTAATCCAAGTAACCGGCCACCGGAGTCCGAGGAGCCTTACCATACCACTTCCTCGGAAGATTTCTCATCACAATCACAATTAACTCCAACAGTGCCTAATGCATCACAACCAACCACGGAGGGGACTGAAGAACAGAAGGAACCTGAGTTTAAATACCACGCCGTCTGTGTTGTTGGCTACAAAACTGAAGGAGGAGTGGACTGCTTTCAAGTACAAGAGAATCAGGGGTCGAACGCTTTTCAACATGGGTTCAGACTAGTTGCGGAGTCTGCCTTCACAGCTGCATATGTGGTCACCGTGGTAAGTTTGATTTGTGATTTGTGAACCATAGACATATCTGAATCAATCAAATCCACTGCTTCTCTACTGTCTATATAAAGTTAATGATATGTTTAACTCTATATGATCAGTATCCTTTCTTGCTGTTTGAGTAATATATATATCTATAGAGTAATTAGTTATGTTATATTTGCATGCACCCATGCCAACCTTTTTGGTTATTACTCGGCTGTTTGATGGGTTGTCTTTGTTCTTGTTGGCTGCCTGTGCGTAGGATTGGTAGAGTGTAGTTGTCTGTTGAGGGTAGTTATTTCTTGGCCTTATGTACATCTTCTTCATTTCGTGTTCTTCCCTTGTAACAGTTGTAACTTGCTGTCTTTATGAAGTCTAATAGAGGAATGGGAAGAGCAGATATATCTAAATAGTAATTCTGCTTAGATAAAGGAATGTGTTTGCTTGTTTGGCATGTGGCCTATATCTACCCTTTAATTGTTACAACGTGCGAACTTGCATGCAAGTGCAAGTTGAATTAAGCAAGATGGTCAACAATGGTCTCTTTCCTAAAGTTAAGTTTAATTTTTAAAGTATTTGGTCGGTTTGCTAGTGCTGTGTTTTCCTTCCAAATTGTTCACTTGTCACCACTACATGGGCCAATGGGTGCATTATTGACTTTTGGAGCTCCCTCTCTCTCTCTCTCTCTTACTCCTGCCCCTCATGCCATGTCACTAACAACTTTTATTGGTATGCTCATCATAGGAAGCAATAGAGCCAAATCTGGTTATGGATGCTTCTAAATAGGAAGGGTGAGTTCTTGCCCAATTAAACTCAATGCTTGTGGTAGTAAGTTCTTAGCTTATTTAAACTCATGAGAACATTTTGTTTCTTTTGCAGGTTGATTTTCAGGGGGTTGATTCTATCATGGAGGAGTTTTAAAAGTAAATTTTGGACATAGTAAAAAGCTAGGTGGAGGAGAACATTTTGGGGAGTTCTATAATTGTTGTCTAGTAGGAGGCTTGACTTCACTATATTATCTCATTACTGAGAAAACTATTGACTAGTTAGCTATATTATCTAACTATGCTAATGTAGTTTGATAGCTCCATTAAACAATGATGGACCAGTGGTTGGTGTTTGTTGTTTGTAAGGATATTAATTAGGCAATCCCATTAGGACCAAAACAGTGATCATGATGGATGAGTGTTTAATCTACTACTATTTTGTAATTGCAACTCTCATGTGAAATGTGGCTAGCTCTTTCCCTCTTTGTCCTGTACATGCAATTGTGTGCCGTATTTTCGGATCTTTAGTTTGGCAGACCCTAGTCTACCATCCCAAAGCATTGGCCGATTAGTTGAAAATCCAAATACCATACTATGGCAAAGTGCTTGAACATTTCATTACAAGGTGCAAATTGGAAATTTGCTTTATGGTTACAGTAATTCCGTAGCTTGCCGATGGATCCAACTTACATGAGAACTTTGTACAAGCGTGTGGTTTATTAATGCAACATATTCACATCTATTCTCGACCATTGCGCCCAACAAAAAGAGATATAGATGGTTATTGAGAACTATTGATATCAAAACATTTGAATGCAGAGTGCAAGTGTCTACAGATTACTATAAGGGAATGTAAATAAATCACTTCCGCCACGTCAGCTCATCCTCGCTAATCCGCACACATCGGAGGGTTATGTATGTAAATTAATCATGCCCAAGTCGTTCCATCCTCCTCCTCTCTCTCTCTTTGTTCAACCGCCCCTCTCGCTTTTCCTTCTTCAACGCGCCATCGCCATTAGAGACCCTCGGAGTGTCGAATTCCATCTTCCCGCCTACTCTGTTCTGCTCCCTTGGAGTTGGAGCGATTCCCTTTTCCGTCGCTTCTGCTCCCTTTTCCGGCGAATGATTCAGGTTGTCCTCTTTCCCTCTCTCTTCTCCTCTCTCTCCGTTCATCCTCGCCGAAAATCAAAAGTGAACTCATGATCCCATATGCTGCGAGCATCTGAACGTTCCAGATTCCAAATGAAGAGTTTTTAATGCTTGCCCCAAATTTCATCACAAGTGAAGCTCATCAGCAATCAAATCTATGACAGGAGTTCTATTATAATTTTGAGGGTTACGATCAGGTTAGTCCCAACTTCCTTTAAATAATAGGCACCCAAAAATTTAACATCTTAGGGCAATTCAATTGTTCGAGGTAACTGAATGGTAGTGGCGGATTAGGCCGATGGTGTGTAATATAAACAGAGTTTTGGTGGATTTAACAGATCATGTGATGTTATACACGGTCAAGTGTAGTAGGGGAATACTTGGATAGGCCATAATTAAAACTAAGTTGCTTTGTAATCAATATTCAATACTAATCATTCAATTTGGGGTTTTGCAGGATGAAAGTTCTCCAAATTAGATTGGAATGTTGCTTCTTTTCATGGTTGTGAAACAACCACAGTAACACTACTCCATTAAGCTTCTTCGGGTCAATTTTATATGCCAATTAATTATATCTTTAATTTGATCTAAATCCCATCATAGTTCTACTTAATTCTATTAGGATTTATCATTCCCATTGTGAGTTTTCCCTTCTACCCTCTTTGTTCTAAAATGTAGCCTGAATGGTTGTTGTACTGCATTGTCTCGAGAATCTGCAACATCTTTGGAGTTATGTCGTCCATAACAAGTTTTGATATTTTGTGTTAGACTCTCAAGTTAGCTTATTACGGTTCATGTGGTGGTCTCCCCGCTTTTATGTTAACCTTGCAAATATAGTTTACTATCATATTATTTTCCGGTTGATGACTGATTTTCAGTTTTCATTTCTTCTAACTCATTGATCTTCATTCTATTATTGTTTGTATTCAACTTAGTTGTTTGATTGCATGGATTGTGGTTCGCATATGACTTAAAGGACTGTTTTGTTCAATCATTTTTTTCTTGAAGTTTTAGGTGAACATAGAAATGACATCACTACTTCTTTGACCTCAAAATTAATATTCTCTTTGACTAATATGCTATTTAGAGTCTAGGAAATACTCATATGATACTATAATTGACATTTTTCGTATAGAGCCACAATAAATGTGGAGTGGATCCTCTTCTGTTGTTGCAACTCTTCAGAAATGTTTTTTTTATAGAAAGCTCTTCATAAATGTTGCTTACCTCTTATGATATAGAATTTGTGTTTGGAGTGGTAGGTCTTATGATAATGTTATGTAATGCTCATAAAAAATCTCTCATTTTCCCACTATCCTTCTCTATGGTATATGTTTGCTTTCGTTCTATTATTATTCTTAAATGACAATGTGTTTTCTGTTATGTAGTATGTTGTAAGTGTTCTACTTATCATTCTCCAAATAGATTTGCAAGTTTTAGGCTGTGAATAGCATGCATTTTTGTGTTAATTCAATCAGTTAAAAAAGTATGAGAGTATCATTTGTGCTTTGTTTCATATAAGCTTATTGTTCTTTCACAAAACTATGCCGGCCAACGGGCCGGGACCAATGCTAGTTGTTAATAGAAGTGGCTGCTGAGTGACACTAGCGATTTTCCTCCTCCTCCTCCTTGTCTCATTGCATCGGTTGGATGGTGAATTCAGGAGTAGCCTAGAAGGAAACTCATCTCAGGAACCTGAGCTCTGCATCAATATCGATACACCATTCCTGGCTTCCTGCTATTTATTTAGTTCGAATTGTGGAAACTCAGATTTGCTTATAGAAACAAACGAGTTTTCGAATGTATAAAGTTCTTTTTCTCCAGTGGTTGTCTTTATAAAGGGTAAACACTGATTATTAGCCAAATCTTTCCAGCTTTAATTTTGTATTAGTCAAACTTATTGAATTACTAATAATTAGCCAAACATTAACATCCAGTCAACAATTTTGTTAGTAATATTGACTTGACAATATGATACTAACTTGAAAGAGACACATGGATGTCAACATTCCAAAACTTTAGTACTTTAACTAAGAAAAGAGTTACAAAATTATTAACGATAACGTAAAAATGACTAATATTTTGATGCATTACAAAATATTTGACAAATTATTAGTAATTCATTACAAAATAATGCGAGAAAAATTTGGCTGATAATTAGTGTTTACCCCGTATATAAAGTATACCTCAAGTCTAAATGTCTACTGGCATGGCATTCTTGTGCTTGCACCGGTGACCCCGCTATTGTTGCTTCAGGATCCTTAAAGGCAATCTATGGTGACTCAAATATGGCAGCTTGCTTTCCTTGTGGTACTTTATTTGTAGCTTCACATTCCTTTTGGCACCTTATTACAGGATCTAGGAGAGCAAACTGTAACATTTACCAAAGGGAGTCAAAACAGGCAAGTCAGAGAGCACGTTAGCTTCATCAATCCAGCAAGCATGAAGGAAAAGACAGCTTCAATTCAATCCTCAGGCAGATGCCTGGAATTTTGGATTGTTTCAGCCAGCATACATGGAGTGCTTTCTATCGTGAGGTAAATCCTAGAGGATTCAAAGATGCTGAGGAGGTATTGATTTTCCAACAGTGGCTCAGTTGTATATGATTTTTATATGAATTACGTGTTTTTGTTTATTCGATGCACGTATTCAAATCGAATTGCTCCCAATCAATGTCCTAAACCGAAATGATCCAACATGTCATTAAACAAATTTGAATACTATTGTACTAAGATACTTGCCCCTACCCGTTCAGATTACGATTTTCCTTATTCCAATCGCCATAGCCAATTCCTTCTCCTTTAAGTTTTGCGTAAGATGATCGAAGGTGGGTTTGCTCTGAATTAAAACAAAAAGGGAAGCCGCGTCCGTGTGTTCGCATTATATTATATTACGCGGCATTTTACTAGAGAATCTTCATATGACGGTTAAATAACAGACACGCCCGCTACTGCCAACGACCAACGAAGCTTCTTCCTCACATTCCCTATCCCCGTCTCCCGCCCGATCATCTACCCCAAACCGACACCGTTTCGTCGTCCACTTTCCTTCGCCACATGGCATACATAAATAGCGCCATCTCTTCCCCCTTTCCACTTGCAATCTGATTTTGGGTGTGTGATTTTACATGCGAGTTTCCATTAGAAGTCTCCAACTTTCGCTTTGATACGAGGATGTAAGTTCTGGGTTCCTTGATTTCTTTTCCCTCCACTCGTAAAGTTCCTTCCTTTTTATGGGGGTTTTTTCATGTGATTGCTTCTTTCGAGCTTTCCCTATTTTGTATGCCTTTTCTTCTTGCTAAGATCTAAATTCGCTTTGAACCGTGTGATCCTCCATGTTATGTGTTGGGAAATGGTTTTTCCTACATGTATCCGTAATGGGTACCGATTGGTTTGTGTTCCTGCTGTTCCTGAGGCTGTGAATTTGATTGTGTTTCGGCTGTCTTTAATGTCAGAACTGGTGATCTTGGAACTGAGAGACAACAATGGTGAAGGAGACAGCTTATTATGACATTTTGGGTGTCAATGTGGACGCCTCAGCAGCTGATATCAAGAAGGCTTACTACGTCAAGGTTGGTTTCTAGGTTTTGGTGCTCATTCGACTGTTGGTGATGTAGGTAGCTTTTTTATGGTTTAGGAAATGGGCTAACCAGAGTTTTCGAGTTGAAGTGCTTAACTTGTAGCTCCAATTCTGCTTTAATTATAGATAGCACGTTTGAGTTGTCAAATGTGTGGTTAATGCTGCAATTCTACAAAAAGGTTATTGCTTTGCTGTTCTTTGTTATTGGCTCTCCTAATTTAGTCAGAATGCTTGGCGCTTTGTGATTGAAGGTAGGAGTAGTGAAGTGAGTGAATGAGCTTTGCTGAGTTGAGTCTTTTACAGAATGTTGAATCTTCTTTGAACTTCATTCAATGAGAGAGGCAGAGAAGGAAAATATAAAGCTGGTGTATGGTGATATGACTTCTGTTTACTAACATGATTTGGTTTTTCCTTTACAGGCAAGAACTGTTCATCCGGATAAAAATCCTGGTGATCCAAAGGCTGCTGAAAACTTTCAGGTTTCTGCTTGCATTTTCAGTTCTTCATTACAATACAATTTACAATAGTATTATTATGGGCCATTTTTAAACTTGTCTTTCAGTATGCAATATCTAACTTAGCTTTCTTTCTTGTGCCTATCCCTAGAAACTTGGAGAAGCGTATCAGGTGTTAAGTGATCCGGAAAAGCGTGAAGCTTATGACAAACATGGAAAGGATGGCGTACAACAGTAAGTTCATGCGACCTTAGTGAGAGCTCCCTTTTATTGTTAGCTTGGTTCTCCATTGAGCATGAGAAGTTCGTTTTGACTTTTTTCCCCAGGGACGCCATGTTGGACCCTGCAGCTGTATTTGGAATGCTCTTTGGCAGCGAGTATTTTGAAGAATATATTGGGCAGCTTGCTCTGGCATCAATATCGAGTATTGAAATTGAAGAAAGCAATTTGGATCCTGAAACTCAGAAGCAAAAATTTCAGGAAAAGATAAAGGTTCGCAATTTCCCCCCTTTTTGCAGCTTGTATTTCTGGTTTAGATGTTGTGTGAGTATCCATCGTAATTAGGAATACATGCTTTTTCATTGAAAATGTGCAGGCAATGCAAAAGGAAAGGGAAGAAAAGTTAATAACTAATCTCAAGAATAACCTGGAACCATTTGTTGAAGGACGGGTGGATGAATTTGTAAAGTGGGCCAATTCTGAGGCAGTAAGGCTCTCTGGAGCTGGTAAGTGCCTTGTGCTTTTGTAGTTGCATGATCGATATTCTCATTGCTTATAAATGTCAGCTTTCATGCCTCACCATGTTTTGGCATTAGCAATCTTCCCCAGCCGTGCCAGCAAAACTGCACAATGCTTTTAACTCTGGCTAGATTAGCTCCTGCCCTGGATATGAGGAAACTCTTGACAAATGAGAATGAATTGAAACTTCGGCTCCAGCTACTTTCGTCTTCATCTAATTTCAGGATATTTGTAGGCAACTAAACTGATATGAACCTTGTATATAAGTCGTCCAGTCCTTTTTGGTTTGTTGGAGGCCATTGTGGTTGACTGAATTCGGAAGACACGTTTGTGGATATCTTACATGTATTTTAGATAGATAGACATGCAGTTTCATTTCTGCATACGCTGAGACATTTTTGATCTCTTCCTTCTGAAGTTTCTTTGGACAGTCTTCATAAATCTTTTCACTGACAACTGCCTTTCTCATGTCAGCATTTGGTGAAGCTATGCTGCATACTATCGGCTATATATACACGCGTAAAGCAGCCAGAGAAATTGGGAAAGACAATTGGTACATGAGAGTACCGTTTTTAGCTGAGTGGGTACGAGATAAAGGACATCAGATAAAGTCACAAGTAATGGCAGCTTCAGGTATAAAAGGACACCCTCATTGAACTGTAATAGGACTCAAGCGAGACAGAGGACATTATTTACCCTCGAACTAAAAACTGAACATAATAAGCATTTTTTGTTTTCTAGGTGCTGTCTCTTTAATCCAGATACAGGAGGAACTGAAGAAACTGAACCAAGCAGAGAACAAAGAAGAGAACTTGATGAAAGCCGTTGAGGACAGGAAGGATGCTATGCTGCAATCTCTTTGGCAGATCAATGTGGTTGATATCGAGACTACTTTATCTCGCGTTTGCCAAGCTGTAAGCTCTTAGAGTCTCCTGTCTTTATGCTCCACACACTTGTTTTTTATCACAATTGAATCGATTGTTGACGAATTCTGTTTTTTTGGCTTGCTGCTTCTTGTTTCAGGTACTTAAAGACCCTACTGTTTCCAAGGATGTTCTTCGACTGCGAGCCAAAGCATTGAAGAAACTAGGAACAGTCTTCCAAGTGAGTGACGGTTTGGTTTCTTGACAACTGCAGGTTGAAATCATCGAGTAATATTCTTCAATAATTGCTCCACAGGGTGCCAAGGGTCCTTACTGCAGGGAAAACAGCTTGCGCCACGAGAGCCTGGCCAATCCAGCTGCTGCGGCCACATCTCAGTCTGTTTGATCTCAAACCGGATACCTTATAAGATTTTACAATATCAAGAGTGCGCATAGATGATCCGATTTTATAACCTGTGTAGCATACAGATATGCATGAGTGCACATATATGTATGGTATGGTTGGTTGATTATCCATACTCTTGGCTGAGTTTTTCCCTTATTATGATGCAATGTAAGAGACCCGAAGAAAGTTGTATGCTTTGGTTGTGAATACATATAAGATTTTCTTGCTTGATTAGTGAAGATCAAAAGGGCTATTCTTTGAGATAATGCTAAAGTAATTTGGTTTCAAGTTGGTGGAAGCAATAAGCATGCATCTGGGACAATATGCTCCTACCTTCTTTTCTCTAATTTGCTTTGCTTTTCCCCTACTGTGAGTGACATTAAAACTATACGATGGGGCCAAGCATGCTTTGCCACTAAGCTCAGATCATATCTTCAATTATTAACTATTCAGCTAGTGCTATTGGTAATCACTTTAAGTGCTTGCTTCGATAAGAATTTATGCATGTATCACCAAGAAGTGGGTTCTGATTAGCTATGATTTTCTTTCTAGCAGCATTTGTTCATTTGCATGAATGCAGTGTTCTGTTTGCAACTTAGCAGGATCAAGGATCAGAATTAAATTCGACTCATAAGAACCGAGCTTTTAGCGTATACAGGGAAGATGTTGGTTCCCACAACAATATGTTGCTTTCATTTGACTTGCTTGGCACGGTAATATGCCACCATTGATAATCTCAAGCTAGCCAGGAGGCATTCAGATCCTTAATACGCGTTTCTTGAACCGTGTCGACTGTTGAAGATCAATCGAATACTCAAGCTTTGCAGCTTCACCCAAAGCCTTGGACCTTTGTATAGGTCTCCTTTTCCAGTCTTGGCATAGCAGAAGTTGATAGAATGTGCACTATTTGTCTACATATGTGAAAACATAAGATAGGAATTTCAGGAACTAGCCAAGGCCATAATCCTGAAAACCAGGCAAGGGTAGGTTGCCTAGTTACAGCTTTACTGAACAATTATTTCCCACTTTGAACAAACTAGTGCTACTAATTGATCATTATGCAAACCAAGAGCCAAGAGACATCATAATTATTTCTCTTTCTTGCTTGCATATAGAAAGAAAGAACATGACCCAAGCTATAAAGTGATGGAGCTTGCCAATACATTTCCAACCTTTGGCCAAATCATTCCATAATTTAATTCAGTATTAGAGAACAAGTGTTGCTCTGAGAAAGGAAATTTGAGAAGATTATTGGTCTATAATTGGACAGCAGAAAAAGAAGGGAAGGGTCCTAGCTTAGCTTAAAATTAGGAGACCCTGTCCTAATAAAGGACTCAGGAAAGGGCTGCAAAAGCAAAGATAAGATTGCTAATATTGTGCTATATAATTAATTTTCTTTCTCTCTTGCTTTATCAATTAAGAATTGATTATTGAATATTTTCAATCCCCACAATTGGTTTCTTCTCTTTATTCTCCACCAGTGTCCTATCAGTTGTATTTGGTAGGTTGTCTTTGTCTTATTGGATTAAAAGAAACCACTAACAGAAGTTTATCCCACAAACAATTTAAGTATTTTTAATTAGGAGCCTAATCCAACCTAATGTTTCCTTTTAACAAGGACAAACCAAAACCCTAGTTGATCACTCAGTATCCTTCCTCTTTATCCCATTTTACTCTCCATAACAAGCTTGGCATTTTCTTCAATAGTGTCACTCTTTCCATAGATGATAGAACTTACTACTTTTCCAACACTCTAGAAACGTATTTACAAATTTGATCAACCCATTATCTAGCTCCCAGGGTTAGATGGTATGTGTGTATACTAAGAACATACCCACATCGGCAATCCATCACATCGAGAGCCTATGACATGAACGCAGAGAGATGCCAAACTAACCCCGATCAAAGTATGACCTGATTTAGAAATAGGGTCGACATACGAGTTTTCAGAAAACTCAGGAGTTAGTTTTGACAATTGAATTCAATTTCGTTAAACTGCAACAATCGGTTCAATTCAGATTTAATGAACATATTTTTTTAAAAGAATTAGGATAGAGACTAATTATTAGCCAAACCTTTCTCGCATTTTTTTTATTAGTCAAACCTATTGAATTACTAATAATTAGTCAAAAAAATTTTTAAATGCACCAAAATATTAGCCATTTTTACGTTATTGTTAATAAATTTGTAATTACTCTTTTCTTAGTTAAAATACTACAGGTTTGTAATGTTGACCTCCATATGTCTCTTTCAAGTCAGTATCATGTTGGCAAGTGAATATTACTAACAAAATTGCTAACTGAAAAATTAACATTTGGCTAATTATTAGTATTTCAATAAGTATGGCTAATAGAAAAGAATATGTGAAAAGTTTGGCTAATAATTAATGTAGACTCAAAATTTATTCAAAAGGTTGGATTAAATTGACATTTCGATAACCCTATTTCTGCCAACAGGGTTATCAGCAACACAGTTGTTGAATTATATATATATATAGATAGATAGATAGATAGATAGATAGATAGATCGCGATCCTGATGTTATATTATTGGTTCTCTCTTCTTCCCTTTGATCCATCTCGAATACAACTCCATTGCTGTAAGATCATTGTACTTAGGTATCCCAAGAAATCTATATGTGTGATCATGAATAGAATCTCTAGCTATTTTGAGATAGAAAGGAATCCAAGGTGAGTAATAAGTGATCAAGATGAAGGAGATTATGATAATTTCCACTGAGGGATGTCACACTCAGATTAAAGCAAGTCCTACCGGTATTATTTTGAGTCTTGGTTTGAAAGACAAGGCTAAAGCTCGATTATATAACTCTATTATACACACTATAGATAATCCCACTAACTTCCATTGGTAGACTTATAATGCCCCAACAAAAGCAAAGTGGCCTTCTTTCACCTTTTTGCCCCATTTTCAAAACATAAAAGCCCTAGCATAGCCCCAGCTACTTTTATGTTATATAATTTGTCCACTAATTACATTAATTTAACATATTCATTATGATTATTAATACCCCTTTTCTTGTTGTTGTTGGAGAGAGTGGAAAACGCCTGTATTAATATATAAATGGAGGTGTGAGGCTCGGCCCAGGAAAAGGCCATTGAAACCATCATTACTCATCTTGTTGCAGAGACTAAACCACAAAGAAAGGAAGAAAAGAGAAGAGGTTTCGAAGCTTAATCATTAAAATCAGTATTACTACTGCAATATTAAGCTAGATTAGAGTGTACAACAAGAATGGAGGTTGATGCTGTGAAGAGATTTGGGAGAGTGGTGTTGCTTCTTCTTCTCCTCATCAACTTAGCACTACTGTCCTTGTTCCCTTCACCTTCTCTTGCAGGTACTGCGAAATCTGTTTTTCATTCCTGAGCTTTTGAGTTCTTTTTCGCGTTTTATTTGCTGCTCTAATTCATCAGTTTTTCTGGTGCAGCTGGTGGAAGATTCGAGCTGAAAAACCATGAGAAGTATAACAGGCAGCAAGCTGGTGCAGTGGTCTCTTCTGAGGTAAATTTGTCTGATCTTCTCTGTGGTTTCTCTAAACGGATCGTTTTCTTGGGTAAACAAACAAACAAACAAACAATTTTTATGTATATCAGGATGAAGTAGTCCACGAGAGGCTGCTGAGAGCCAACACAAGAGACTATGGAAGGTACGATCCGACGCCGACACTTTCGAAGCCACCTTTCAAGCTCATTCCCAACTGATCATCGATCGTTCTGTCGATGATCCATCCATCGAAGCTCGAGGATCGAATTACCGGCCTATGTTATTATATGTGTGTGATCAATCTAAGGGATCTATATATATATATATATATGGAGGAGATGTGAATAGGTTATATATAAATATGTATGGATAATGGATCCACTCTAGCTATAGCTATATATACGTATGCATGCATGGCAGCGCAGTTAATTGGGATGGTAATAGAAACATGTAATAATAAGGGACTGCTGGGATCACGTTTGGATCGAAGGTTATACGTGTGTTAGTAATAGTACTGTGATCACTACTGTTGTTTAATTAACATGGTATGATATAATCGTACGTGTAAGTTTTGGTTATCTGAATGTTATTTGGTTAATTATCTGCATCTATCTATATAGCTGAAGCAGTACTACTATAATCGTTTTTTTTTTTTTTTTTTGTAAGAGGAAAGTGTCGTTTTTTGGTAAGTTTTGGATTGGTAAACGACACATAATAACATACATAAAGCTCACGGCAATCGAAGTTGTATTGCTTTGTCAATGGACAATGAATGAAGCTCCTCCTATACTACAACAAATTATTATGAAGGAGGAAAAGAGAGATTGGGACGGATTTCTTCATGAGCAAAATGAATGTGTGGAAAAATGAAAATCCTATAGCTTTTGATTTGATTAAGAATTCTCTTTGACTCGCAAAAGAAGAAAAAAAAGGTGTCATTTTTCTCTATATAGATCAACAATTGAAAGTTTTGACGACAGAGAGAATCTACGCACGAATGAGTAATAAAGTGATTTATTAATTGATTATATGTATAATACATCATTTTATTATACACTTTTATCCTACATGTTCTAATATTTTTTGCATGGGTACTTTATAAACATTACAAGCATATTGAACATGGACCGGTCTCATTCAGCTGTAAGTGTCGTTTCGGATCATTTTTGTCTTTTGGTTCTCTTCGGATATATTTCTATTCCTCTTTTGATATCCCAAGTTGTACTTCAACATTCCCTATAGATAGATATCTATGTGATCAAGAATATAATCTCTAGCTCGAGATCGAAACTAAGGAATCCATGGTGAGTAAAATAAGAGAAACCATTAAGATGAAGGAGATTGTTGTAACTTCCTCTGAGGGTTGTCACACTCAAATTGAAGCAGCAGTACCGTTATTACTTATGTTGTTATTTGAAAGGCAGAACTAAACTAAAGCTCGATTATAATAGTAGTACATCTAGAAAGACAAATTCCTACCAACCTCCATTTCCATCCTAGACTTATAATGCCCCAACAAAAGCCAAGTCTTTCAACCTTTTTTTACCCATTTTCAAAACCCTTACTTAACACAAAGGAACGAAGAAGAGCGATCAAGAGGTGGAGACATCAGAATTGGTTTTTTCTTTTATCCAAGATAATCTTCTAGGGCATGACTGGACAACTAATTTATAAAACACACAATATTAAAGAACGGTAGTCTATATGTAACCGGATTACTGATAAAAGAGCCTTTTTTCGCCATTAGATGGACAACTCTATGAAAGCTCCAAGGAGCAAAGAAGCCTTTATCACATTCACATTTGGAAGCAATCAAGTTGGGTCATTACTCTAATTCAGAGTATTCATGAGAAGTGTCCTGCTCTTTCTCCTTATCTGAGTCGGTTTCAGAAACTAAGCTTGATTGGAAGTACAAATACTGAAACTTAAGCTTGAAAAATAAAAAATACTTATTGCTTCATGATAAGACAGGTTTATAGAGCAGATGATTTCAGCTCATTTTACTAAAATTGTAACTAGCAGCCCATAAGAAAGCTACTCATCAGGCTACCTTTCTCCTGATCTCCTCGTTACACAATTTCTAAAGGAACAAACGCCAGAATAAGCATGGGTTCATACGTGAATGAACTAAGATGAATGACGATAATTTGTTACAGGCACTTTGGCATGGAAACTTATTCAAAATTAAGCAGAAATTTGAGCGGTTTTAATTCTCTGCTCCAGTTCCGGATCATCAGAGGCCAGGTCGTGTGCAAGCTGCTGTGATGATTAAGTTCTGGGCTGCTAAAAGTATCGTCGGCATTGCATCATAACAAAATAAACGTTCCCGGAAAAATGAAGCTTTGTAACTTTTGTGAGCTCTTCTCTATTGTACTTGTACCAACAAGAAATGTGGCGGAAGCCTAATCTTCTCCATGCTCTCAAATGTTTGCCGGATCATTGAGTTCCTGGGGAAAACACAATGAACAAAAGTACGAAGTCATTGCACAGAGAGGCTTAATATCCGTTCCTCCATTGATGTGTGCATATGTTGGTCCGACTGGTTACCTTGTTCTCGATGACCGTGTCATCTGGGATTTTCAATGTTGTCCCTGGTTCCGCATGGATGCTTACTCTCCCCTAAACAAATCATTAGACAAGTATTCAGCATAACTGATTCCAGTTGCAGATGCATGCATATTTGGGCATGACCTCCTGGTCTTTCTGATGGAAAGAGAGTGACCGTAACTCGGTAAAGAATGCAATAAAAAAAAAGTCCATAGGAGTCTCTAGTTACCTTCAGAGTAACACCCGTACCGAACCACACATCCCCAGTGACTTTCAAGGAGTCCAACTCAACTATGCTAGGAATGGATTGGAAGCGACTTTGGAAGTCATCAATCTGAATGAAGAAAAACAAATATTAGATATTCAAATAACAGTAGAGGGTCAGTGTTGTTTTACACCAGAACAAGTGATAAATCACCTTTTCAAATTCAGGCCCCAATTCAATGGATGGATCCATGGGGCTGATTCTGGCGGGATTGCGAACCAACGAGCCATCAACCGCAGAGTAAAGATCAGACTGCAAAAAATGCAGACAAATAGCAAAATACACATAAGCATTCTTTCAAGATCAGCACAAAAAGAACAACAGATGATACAGATAGTACCTTCATAAGAAGCAAGTCAGATGTTGCATTTAGTTGAAGGGACCGCGATTGAGGAACATTAACGCCAATGGCTTGGTTAAATAACTGCACAAATAATAATAAGATGGTGGCATCCGAAGTCATTCACCAAGCATGCAGAACAGAGGTTAAAAAATTGTGTCTTATCATTACCCGTATAGGTAAATCAGCTATGTTATCTTGCTGAGGAAGTTGATTGTCTTCTACTTCCTGAAAATGTATGATAACCATTTCACTTGTCCACTGTTTATTGCATATGAAAAATTAAATTGACGGATTACTGGTTCGAATAATCCTACCTTGGAGGTAGAAAGATTTTCCATCGTCAGAGAATTTGTATCAACAAGCCTTTTGATGGCTTTCAAGCTCACCCACCTGTTGAAATACTCCATTGTTAAAAATTGTATAACCAAGTCAATGTACAATTCACTAGAGACGAAGGAACTCACAATGTTTTTGTATCAATCAATTTAAAATTCTCCATCGGCTGCATTTTGAGATCACCACAAAACACAAGATGAAAATGAGTAGACTATATGAAAAATAAAAGCAACCTACAACAACACATTACTGAAAAATGAAGCTGTTAACTCACATGTGTGGATGTATCCTCTGCAATTTCTGTAAACTGAAACAGAAATTTCTCAGAAATTATATGGTTGCTTAGGTACAACAAAGAAACATCTCAAACCATTAAATTGCTAACACTTGGTGTCAAATGATTCGTAGCCAGTAGACTATTGATGCATATTACTGATCAGATTCATAATAAATTCCTATGATTGTAACCTCAGTCCCTGATTTGGACCAAGGGATAGAGTAAGTGCCGATCTTTCCATAGGATAATAAATCAAAAGCCATTACTGCAACAAGATAGTCTTTGCATCTCTATCAGACATCCAGATAACTACAATACAAAGCAACACGAGACTTTTCCCCCCATTGAATACAACAGAAGACTTGCTTATAAAGGACAGAACAAATGAATGTAAAACTTGCCTGAAACTTTCCTTCAGACTCATTTGCCATAGGGTTCATTGAATAAGATGATGGAGTTGGCGTCACCTAAACAACATCAACAGTTAAACATGTTCCTCTTTACAACTGGAAAGCACAACTAAGAGCAATAACAGCTGAGTTTGGGTACCTCCATGCAGTACTCAATGTTGTTTGAGATCAAATGATTCAAGATCTCTGTAACCAAAAATAAATAAATATTTGTCAAAATGTTATATCATATGAAAGACAATGGCAGAATGTAACATCATAATAAAAAGAGCAAAATATAAAACAAAGCATTAAATAGTGGAAAGTGAGGAGTCTGTACTGGCATCAACGACCGCAGCTGAGTTGTCAGAGCTTACAACAAGAACATACTCCTTTCCCTGTAAATAGGTTCAAAGGCAGTAATTAGACCCACCTACCTCTACCAATCCTTCTGGAAATTAATGTCCATGAAGGAAAACAAAAAGGAAAGAACTGTGCACCTTCGCTAGTAAGATATCCAGTGCCCCACTATTAATCAGGGAACGGAATGCTGCTGCTTGATCAGAAGGGTGCCTTCAGGTAGAACACAACAAAATCGAAGTTCAAAATTGTCACAATCGGATAACAGTACACACGCAAGCTCTTTTACAGGGCTAAGAAGGCTAAGGAGGAGAAGGACAAACAATGATGATGGGAAAGAAAAAGCAGAGGCGCACAAAAGGAAGATACTGGAGGCCAGAAATCATACGGCTCATTCTCCGTTTCCTGGAGGCCAGGTGATTCCCCAGACTGATGGCCCTAGAGATATCAGATCAGGCAATTCTAAGTTAATAAAGTACCTAAAACAGATATGACTCAGTTCACACATGAAAGTAGCATACAGAACAAGCAACCTGTTGAACTGGAAGAATATCTATGTTTGACCTGGAAATTTTCTCCAAAACCTACAGCAAGAAGGCTGGGAATTAGATTGAGCGAATTTATGAATATGAACTCGAGAAGGGTACATAATCGCCACTTACCTTAGACGTATCATCATGAGTGACGCTGGAGTTTATAAGCACCAGTGGGATATCAGACCCATGCTTCTGATTAAGATTCTGGAAATGTAGCAGAATAAGTGAAAATCAGTCTAAAGTACCGATGTGGTATGAAAAGACTACATACAAGGAAACCAATGTGATTACCTGAATTTGATTCACAACCAAGTCAAGAGAAGTCAAACTGTCACATACTTCAACTAGGGACCTACACAAGAAGTAAATGAGTGGGACAGTAAAGACAATTTATTAAGCAAACCTCATTATAGTTATGTATACATAAAAACAGGAGAAGAAGCACTTATAACAGAAAGGCAGTTAATAGAACATAAGGCATGGAAAGTACCACAGTTCCAAATTTCTGCGCACACACTTAAGGGAGGAATATAAGTAATTATAACATAAAGGCTGCTAATGGAACATATTAATTGGAAACTATCACAATTTCACATTCTTGAGGACACACTTAATAACTTAATCATAATAGGTTCGGAAAAGCTCCAAGGTACCATCTATAATGTGCATGGATGACATATAAATTGTGCTAGTGGGTTTATTGTGATAGGTTTATCTTGGTGGCTAAGGAACGTCATCCATCACCCCCAACCTTCTCTGGATTGGTTGTGAAGGAAATAAAGAACACCATTATGTACTAAGTTCGAGATCTTGTTACACATGCTGCACAATATGCTTCTACCTTAAACCTATGCCAATAACAATCTACTATGTATCAGTGTCAGCATGAAGCTCTATGAGCCCTCTGAAGGCAATAATTAAAATGCTATAAAGGCAGGAATTGACTTCTAGCTTAGGAAGCATTTGCTTACTTAGGATCTGTAAAAAATTCAAAAGGGTGCAGGAGGTTTTGAAGGCTTTCAAATCCACAGGTACCCAAATGGTTTCAGGAAAAAGTGTGGAAGTACAACAACCAAAAAAGCAAAGTATGAAAAAATCAATGCTACCAGTTAATACATTTCATCAGTGCAGGCAGGATAATGCTTACTTAGGGCCGTCAAATCCGACAGCAGTTCCCAAAGTACCATTGAACTTCACTACCACAAGCTTATCCAAGATCCGCTTAGTTTCCATAGAACCTACATTTGGAAAAAGCACATTGCTTCTGTCTTCAGTAAAGTGCTAATTTTGCCAGTTCATAGATGTTGCAATTTGTAAATGAAACCAACCACAGATAAAATACGAGGGGATTACCTTCAACAACAGGTGCTAAGCTCTCATAAGGAACAACAAGGATTTTATCAGCTACAGAGCTTATTCTGTTCATACTGTCACAGCGGTGGACCTCCTCTCTAGAATGCAAAATTTTGATTAAACTTTTATTGACCAGCTCAAACAAACTGTGCAACTGACCTACCCATAAAATAAACCATTAAGCCTTACTTAAGAAAATAGAAACACAGAATTAAGCCAATTACTTCCATCCATTTCACAGGCTAAATGTAATCTGTCAATGGGAACAATAACACAGACTAATTCTCTCAAAGCTTCCTTCTCTGCCCTCTTATACTTTACTTGCTTCATGTAGTGCTAGACAAATAATCAATTCTAGAGACTTAAAAGTTCATGGAACCAGGTGATATCAGAATAAATGGCAGCACCAAGATATAGGCTGATCCTGACTTCTTTCACACTCTCAAGAACTAGGCAGCAATACTTACTCTCCCCAAGCAATAATCATGATTATACTTATTCTATCAGAGTATATTACCCAAGTTCTTCTGTTGAAGTTGCTGGCTCATCTTCAATAGTATCTCCCTTGGCTTCTCCCATCTTCTTACGCTCAAGCAAGAAAGTCTTGGTAATGATGTTACAGAACAAGTACACAAACTCCATTGAATCATTAGCAGGCACAGGATAAGCAATCTTCTCGTAATAATCCCGTGGCAGACTTGAATCTACCAGAGCTACAATGGGAACTTGAAGCCTAGCAGCCTCCAAAATCACTGAACTCTTCCTGTCCGTGTCCAACACCACAACACAATCTGGTGGTTGTACTGGCGCAAAACAAACCTTTTAGAAGAAACAAAAATTGATATCATTTACTTCAAAAACCAAGCAAGGAAAAAAAAAATTAAGAAAACTACAATTACTCCATAAATATGTTGCCAGAATGTATTAGATTCCAAATGTATGGATTTTACATTTCACCCATTAGGTCTTTTAGACCAGCTGATTCTATTTCCTAGAGTTCGATATAGACAAGTTATATTATGTTTGTATCGACGAGAACCTCCTTTCAAATGATAATCAAGCAAAAACAATCCAACAACCACCCGCTAGTGACACAACCTTCTACACACGACAATAACTCAACATATTTCAATCAGAAGGAACATGTGTTGATTATCTATGAACTCCAATGACGCATTATCTGAATTCAAATTCCATGGTCCTAACAAATGCATCAAAATAAACACACACAAATGGACTATTCACAAGTACTCATACACAGAGAGAAAATATAGTCAAGTGCAAGGAAAGAAGGAAACTTCAACTCAGACCAAACACATGGGAAACATTGAAAGATGCCAACCTTCTTATTCCTGGAGCGGAACTTCTTGGGGCTGAAACTGTTGGTCAAAAACCCACCCATTTTCCAAATAACCTTATCCCTTGGACTATACAGCCCGATCTTCTTCGTCATCTGCTCCACTATCTCATCAAAAAGTGGATTGGTGTTGACAAACAAGAACCGGGCTTTCTTCTCTCTAGCCAACTGTGCAATAAAGTTGGTAGCATTCCGGAGACATATCAGGGTTTTGTCGGAATCAATTATGGACACCCCGGCCCGTGATCCTTCGGTGAAGATCTTGAAGTGTTGAGCCACCGCTCGCTTGCCCAAATGTGCATTGGTGCTGAGTAGCTTCTGGATGACAACTGAATGTATCGTCATCCCCTGATCGGTAATCAGCAGTGGCAATTGCGAGAGAGCGAGCAAGCTTAGAGACAATCAAACAGAGTGCACTCCCCGGTATACCATCTGTAGTTATTGGCAAAATTGAAGAGACAGAATAGAGAAAGAACGAACACACAATGTCAGCATCTTCTGATTCAATAGAAATCGCAACTCAACCTAGCCATTTCTCCACAGAATTGAGCAGCTTAAAAGTGCAAATGTAAAAACAACCAGACTAACACTCTCCAATCTATTTCCAATCTTGCATATCTGTAATTATTAATTAACACTTGAGAAACTGATTGGGACCCTGAAAGTAAGACTAGCTCAGTTGTAAACCCTCAGTAATCTGAATTGTAGGGATTCCCAAAGTATTTACTCTACCCAGACTACTCCAGGGGATGAAAGTGTGAACCAAGTAGACCACGATTAGGGAAACGAAGGAAGGTAGAGTCGTCTGAGTAAGAGATTATTGATTATCAGGCAAAAGTGAAAGGTAATGAAGAATAGACAGAGAAAGGGAGAGGAATCGAACCCGCCGAGGATAAGCTTGGTTCTACAGCGGGAGAACAGAACGGAAGGGGCGCCGGCGACGGAGAAGGAGAGTGAGGGTCTCGGCGCTGAAAGGAGGAGAGTGAGAAGGACGGCACTCAGCAGGTGGAAGGGCTTTTCCGGAGTTTTTAACTTATGGGCCGAAATAAAGTGGAACTTCATCTGTCTCAGCCCATTAGTGAGACCCAATAGGTTAACATTATGCTTCGAAGGTCCAATAGCCCATGAAATAAACTTTGTTTATGGCTAAATATAAGCTGTGTCAATGGCTAAATATGAGATGTGTTAATTATCAATACTAGTTTTCATTGCCCGCGCTTTGCGCCGGGACTTGAACAAAAAAGAGAATATTTATTTGCACACACACGTACTACATACATAGCATTTTTGAACACTGAGCGAATGTTTACATATCTCAATGAATATTTTCATTTTAAATCTATGTAATAACCATTGATGGTGTATTATAAGAACATTACAGCAGAGAAGATTTGTCTATGGCTACAAAAAATTGGGTTGTTATCTCACTTGCTTCCCTGGATCGGTTTATCCCAATGTCATAAGAGAAATCATAGAACAAATATATAGAATTCCTCTTGTTGCTGCATTGCTTTTTGGTGTTCCTCATTTGATTCAAGTATTGGAAGAGCATTCCTTCAAACATGGAAGCAAGAGAAATTGCGTCAAAAATAACATAATGGCTCCAGAGGAAATTGTATAACAAAATGTCAAAATGCAGAAAGTTATGATTGAGCATTGAGTTGAGATTTCTTTGAATAACATGTTTTATTCATTGAATCGCGCACATTTTATTAATTTATATAAACATAGCATTGTGTCCAACTTCTTTTTCAATATGGAAAAACAGAACCTGGGCATACTATAGAAGTTCAAAAAGCAAAATACGCCAAAACTGTATTGTTGCTCACTTAATCTTTGAAGAAACTCCTTCATGATATCAAGTGCGCAATTAACAGACATGCATAACATGGGTAGATTTATGAGCAGCACAATGTCAATTTCAAAACTAACAATGAGGTCATTTCAAGGGCTTGAGAGAATGCAGACAACTCAAGTGGAAAACACCACTTTTAATGTACTAATCAAACAGCATAAATAGAAGAAATAACCACATTGCAAACCATGAGCAGATCATGAATGGAACAGGAGTTTCACCATGTTCGTAGAAACCTGACTCCAGACAACAACACTTGCCAGCAATATAGAGACATGCAAGACAGAGGATGATAAAATATTAGTGATGATGCTAAAATAGTTGAAAACAACGACAGCACTGAAGGATGCACAGAACCCCATTCAGACACCATGAAAGGAGCAAAGTGCTTGACTACTTAATTCATCAACCAAGTATGGAGAAACCTAATACCCACGCTTGGCCGGTCACAGGGTTCACAAACAAAATTCCTTAAAGCATCCATCCATGATACACAACCAGCCTATCAAAAAAGTGCAAAAGGATATATGAGCAAACCATAAACTAACCATTAAATTAACTCAGTAAGAATGCTAGCACAACAACCTGCCTATCAAAGAAGCTCAAAAGAATATATGAGCAAACCATAGAACCACTAATTAACCATGGGAAGGAAGTATGCATTTCCTTTCAATGGGAGCACAACAGAAGTATGTATAGTTGGCTTCGATTGATTCTGATCATAACTCCCAGCTTCCCAATTTCAATCTTTGGTAGAAGAGAAAGTAACCTAAGACCACAGAAAGGAACAACACAATCAAGATAGATTACAGAATCAACACCCAGAAGAGAATCCTCTTCAAGAATGATATATCCATGTATAGCTCATCAAGTACTTCATACAATTCAAGAACTCAGTTTCATAAATGGCAATGAGTAGAGTGTCAATCAAGAGAAAATGAATATATGAGGTAACTAAAAAAAATACTATAAGCTGTCCGAAATGAACTTTAGCCACAAAATGGATAAATGAATTGAGCAATCAGGAACCATGCCAGGAAAATTTATAAATAACAAAGAACTAATAATGACTTAAATACATTACTAAATCTTATGAACGAACTGCATTCGTCCAAGAACAAAGGTAAGGGTTGAAAATGTAAGAAACAATGGGAAAATAATGGGAAAATACTACGTACCTGTCCTTCGGATCTTACAACGGGTGACCAGGTGCTATCCTGAATTTACCAAGCCTTAGCAAGTAAAATGAAAGCATAAGTTTTGAAAGAAATTGAACCCATCAGTCTCCTGGTCACACGGGACTTCCGTTACAACAACTATCCCCAACAAAATATTCATCATCTATCGCTGTAAGTTTGACCGCACGAATCTGAGCGGAATCTGATGAATAATTGTCACGCAAAGATCAGAGCATGCCACCTCTTGCCAAAATAGACACTGAACAAATCCAATTCAGGGGAATAGAAAGGAACTCATTCGAGAAAAGGAAAAGCAAACAAATCCATCGAGACATGCAATCACGTCGAGATCGGTATGAAATAAAAGCCATCTGAAAGACAAAATGACCAAACAGTTATCGAGGGGCGCGAGAACACTTCACCAGATAGAGAGAATGTGAAAAACACACGAACCCAATGAGAACCCCACAAAATCCTCTACAGACCTCTCAAATAAGGGAATCTGAAGGAAACACAGAAGAGAGAAAAAGAAGTATGAGGAGCTTACTATTTGATTTCTTCTGGTGAACTATTGACGAAAATCTAGCAACAGGTTGGCGCTTCTAAGCCCTTCATCTGCACCTGTTGCGCATACAGAGATAGAGAAATAAGAAGTCAAGAAGAAGAAGAAGAAGAGTGAGATACTCACAACAAAAGGATGAAAATAAATGACCGAGAATACTCACTGCAATGCGAAGAAGGCCAGGAAAACGGGAGTAACCCTGCATCCAAACACCACCTAGAATCAAAAGAGAGCAGGCGGATCGGGACGATGAATGGGACTGAAAAAGAGGAAAACAAACTCTACAGAGAGAGAAGAAATGAAGGATAGATCACCTGAAATAAAAGATATAACCGGCGGGTCTCGATCTTTTTCGGATCCTCGCCGGACCTCCAATATCCGCGTCCCATCACTTTCAAATCCAACCATTGCCCAAGAAGAGAGATGAGAAGAACAACGCAGAGAGAAAGAGAGAGAGAGAGAAGCCGAGAAGAGAGTGGAATGACAATGGGGGAGAAAGTAAAGGATAAAGAATCATCTCTACAGACTCTCTCCCTTCAGTGAATTGGAGCATTCTCGATTTGACCATTCTCCCAGCAGTCGGTGGTGGGTTTCCCAAGCACAGCCTCACTCGTCAGTCGTCAGTCCCCAACAACAAAGACAGCGACAAGGCCTTGCTTACACCCAAGCCATTTGCACTGACGTGGAACCCTTCAACAACCGCAAAAAAACCCGGCCAATCAGAGTCCTTGGAAACCTCGAATAACGGGAAAAGTACCCCACTCCACTCCACTCCACTCACCCTCCCCCTATATCTCAAGACCCACATAGGAACCGAATGACAAATAGAGTTTCATGTCCCAGTAATCGATGGCGAAAATTTCTGCCGAGCGATCTACTCGGGTAAGGGCCCCAGGCCCCCAACCAGAGGGCAGACTAATGTCCAACCGCAACCAAACTATGGGAATCTCGTCCAGATCCAAAGAGAGTCCACCTGCAGCCGCCCACACAGAAACTCAATCCAAGTTGCAACAGTACATATGAGTCTGTATGTACAGTAAAAGGTTTCTGCATTTACAGTAAATGGGCATTAGTGGGTTTTCTTCTTTCAATGAAGTTACATGTGATTTTAATTAAAAAATGTTTATAACAAAGCAATAATTTTTTTTTTAATTCACAAAATGGATCTTACATATCTCGTAAATTTGTTATTGTGTAGAAGATTAAATGAAGAAGTATAAATTAGAAAGATCATTTTTCTATTGTTTAGCTCGACATCGATTGTTGATAATTCTAGTGAAATCTAACTTGGTTCTTTGTTTAGTCTCCAAACGATGCACCTCTAAATCGTGATCCATTTATTTGTCAACGTTAATTTTTATGTTGAGAATAGAAAATAAATAAACAATGCATCAACAATGTAATGTGTCATTTCAATTTCACAAACTTTATTTCTGTCATCGTGTCTCTTTTAACCAAATTTAACCATTAAATTAACATTAAACCCCCCCAAACCCAAAGGTCGATTTTATAGTTTGTATTGAAATTATTGATAACCCATCCAACTTATATTTCAGGGGGAAAAAAAAAAAGAAACAAAAGTTTCAACCTTTTGGAATTGCTTGCTTGTAAGTTTTCGATTTATTATATTGTGGCTCAACAACTCCTCTCAATTGCTGTCCAAGGTAGACCACTGTCCACCATAGTTTAGACCATTTAACTGTACAGCACCCACCCACCCACAAGGGTAGACTATTTTACACTTCTTTTTCTACCTATTATTTAATTACGTTCCCACTAAATAAATAAAAAAGACGAAAATTGATAACAGCAGGTTAAAACAAAAATGAAGTCAAAATCTAACGCGCTGCTCCACTAATCACTATCTCAAAATCCAATTATTATTCTTCAATACACATTTTAGGGAATTTAATTTATACTGAGAAAATATATGTGGAAAAATTATACTATAATTTTGTACAGTACAGCGAGGCAAGAAAAAAAGGGAAGAAAAGGTGGGGTTACGTCACGTGGCGGAAATTCTTGAACCAGCAGACGTCGGCAAACACAAACTCCGTCAGGAAGCGGTAAAGCCGCGAACCATTTGCCAGATGGAGGTAAAAAAGCAAAAACAAAAGGAAATTCTCAACGGCGTTACGGAAAACCGTTTAAAACGACTTCTCCAGTTCTCCATTTACATTTCCTTTCCCCCCCCGGCTGCTTTCCTTCTCTCACTTTCTGTAACCAAAAAGAGTAGAATAGGAAGGAAGCAAGCCAACAATCATAAGCAAAGCACCTAGCAGCAGCCGCTCAGTCACTCTCTCTGTCTCTAGGATTGTCTTCTCAGTTTCTTCCCGCAGAAGCTCTCGCTGCACCGGCCATGGCGGTTCTCGGAGGCTGCTGAATTCGTCCGTCTCCCTCCTCCCCTCGTTTCGAGTCAGGTGCGGGATTCTGTTGCCGCAGTTTATCGAATTCGAGTGCTCCATCTTTATTCAAGCTTCTTTATGGTTTTATTTTCTGTTTAGCTTCTTCTTCGTTGTTTTACTCGGAAGTGGAATCGGATCGATTGACTCGTGTGTCCATTTTCCCCCCTCCCCGTCGTCTAGATTTTAGGGGTTTCCGTCTCTAGTGGATATTTTTCGGCTGAGTTTTGTTTTCCCCTTCCATTTCTCCGGTTTCTATTATTAAGGGGTTGATTATTGACTTTGGACTCACTCTTCGCTCCGCCTAGAGAGTAGGCGAATTTTGATTCGATTTTCCGGCTGCTTTGTTTATTTTATTTTATTGTATTTAGTTTCTCGATTGGGATTTGGTTTTTTTTTGTTACCGGTGATGCGAGCTGCCAGTGGGGGAGTTTGTCCTTGTTCGTTGAGAGTTGGTGTGAACGGTGAGTTTGCTCGCAAAGAGAAGGAAACCAGGGAAAATTATAGGAGTTTAATTTGTTAAATTTCGTGGGTTCATTGTTTTTTCGGGCTCTTTGATGTTATCTGTATGAACTGTATTTGGTGGGTTCTCCGGTTAGATGAGGCCATTGAATTAGAACTTGTCCGCCGCTCTCTGTTTTTGTCCCTTCCAAAATATGGCCTGCAGGATCTGAAGAACAAATCCATCTTTCTCACACTCTAAATATAATTTTATATCTGTGGACTGTGGTTAAGTTCTCTCTAGTCTCAACTTTTCGTTGGATGGTTTGAGCCTTGTTGAGCTGAATCCATCATTTGGAAGCGGGGGCTTTCTTTGGTGTTCTTGAGGTCGGTATCTGTTGTGTAAGATCATGTGTGGGTTAGAGTTGGGATGAGTTATTGAAAATTTTGTTTTTTAGGCTTGCCCCTTCTTTTCTGTGAAGTAATTCTTCGAGAGGTGTTTGCCAATTCTGGATACCTGCACGTGGTTTTCTGGGCATCAAATTAATGACACACATAAATTCTAACCATTGCTTTTGTTCGTGGTGCAGATACACAAAACTTTACCTGGGTTCTTTCCTTTTATGGTGATATTGCTATTTCCAGTGCTGGGTTTGGAAATTTGAGCATGTGATTGGGGTTTCTTCTTTTTTCGTACCAGAGTAGTCTTCTTTAGTGGACTTTGAGAATGGGAGGCGCTTGTTGCATTGCTGCTAGAGACAAAAACATAGTGAGTGGACCTGGAAGTGACATCCTGCACAGGAATATTCGACATTCACCAACATGGAGCTTTAGGTGGGATAACCGGGGCAGAGTAGCTGGGGAAGATACTTCCTTAAGTTGGTTTTCTAATGAAACCAGTAGAAACGATGCATCTGATGCTAAAAATGAATCAACCTATGCCTCGGAAGATGGGAGCCCATTTACTAGTGCCAGGAGACATACATTTCAGAAGTCTCCTGTATCTGACAGGACTCCGGGTCACCTAACGACTCCTGCTTCAGGTTAGCAGTCGTGATGCAACACTCAATTTGGATCAGTTTCGTGTGATGCTGTAGTTTTAATTGTCATTTATCTGCCCATCTGATGTCCATGTTTAGCTTGTCTAAAAAATATATGTTCTCTACTATTATTCTCTTATTTAGAGATACCTCTTAGTATTCTGGACCCAAATCTTTATTGCAATGAAGAATATAGCTTCCCCTACATTCAGCGTGAGATTGCTGAAGGCATTTTGGCCCTTGGTGTCTTGCTTTAACTCTTGAGCCCGAGTTTATGCCATCATTTCTGTCAAGAGTTGTGTTGTTAGGCTACTGCAACGACAGCAAGTGCTGGGTGATTAGAGTATTCCCTGCTGAAATACTAGAATGTGAGTAGGAATCTTAAGTTGTACCTATCTTTGTTTCTATTGCCCTATCATGAGTTGGGACGAGTTAGTTATATCCATTCACGATGTAACTTGTCCCAAGCTCGCTGGGAATACTATTAAAAATTATCTGCACTGGAGAAGATTCGATGTCTCCTGGTTATTTTTATCCCTTTCTAAAATGGCTTTCCATCTCTGTCATATGCTTCGTTGAGCCTCGAATGTATTGGTGAACTTTGGGTTCTTATGGTAGAATTTAATTGCAGAAAGTAGTCTGCTTCCCTCTCAAAGTTTCTCTGGTTGAGATACCTTCGTATGTGGCAACTATCTGGTGCATGGCCCCATATTCCTTGGAGAACAGTTCGAACCTCAAGTCCCTTTGACCTGTTCTCGTCAAAATTTTCTCTGGTTGCGATCTACTAACGTAGAAGCGTCCGTTTCAGCTCTGTGTAGATCAGTTATATCAGTTAAGAACTTAGAGAACAGGATCGGGGCATACTCATATTAGCATGGAACTAATGGTGGCAATACAGGTATTGAGATGAGATGAGATGCATGCATGCAGCTCTGTTCTGAAATCTGGGTTAAACAAAGAAATACTGAATTAGCACATATCATCAGGAGTAGATGATGGTATATACTATGGCTTGCGGTTGTCCTTTTAGTAATTTCCATTTCATGACTTGCACGTTTGTGTTTCACCGAGGAGTGAGGAACTGCACCTGTTGGTATTTGATTTTTAGGTTTTCAAAGTTCCTAAACTTTTTTTCTTCTCGTGGCAGATCAATCCATATCAAGGAATGCATCGATGGATACAAATCTGGAACAGGTAAATGTGTTCTCTGGTCAAGCCATTCTGTCCTGGCTCCCACTGTTGCTAAATTTTTCCTCTGCATTTAGGTGAAGGAGACTGAAGAGCCGCCAGGAACTTCAAATCACTCTCCCTCCAACATATCCCTTTCATTGCCTTCAACTTCATCTCTGTCAACCTCTCCCATATCAACAGCTCAAAGCCACTTGCTTCCCGCCAGCTTAACCAAGCCAACATGGTCGGCAGGGCAAGAAGCATCGGGCAGCAAAAATCCAGGATTGAAGACCGGTAGTGAAGACCACAGGTCTGCGAATCCCTCATGGAGCAATGAGTCTACTCGAGGGTCCCACGGAGGGTCTTCCGATAGTTGGTCTATGCTTGCATTCTCTGAACTCATGTCCACATCTAATAGAGAGAGATGGTCCTTCGACACCACTGAGTTATTGGGGGGTTCCAATCGAGGGAAAACAAGAGGGCATGGTCACCATACATCTGCTTCTTCCTTCTCTATGGATCTACAAGCATGTGGAGTATGCTTGAAGCTACTAACCGAGAGATCTGCGTGGAGCACCCAGAAGCTTATTGCGAACAACGAGCTATCTGTTGTTGCAGTTCTAACTTGTGGCCATGCTTACCATGCGGAATGTCTGGAGACTTTAACACCAGAAATGTCCAAGTATGATCCGTCTTGCCCTATATGTACGCTCGGGGAGAAGCAGACTCTGAAGCTATGTCAGAGAGCCATGAAAGCTGAAATGGACTTGAAGGCAGCCAAGAACAAGAGATCCAGGAGCCGGGTTGTGGACAGTGATGCTGATGGAGTTTCCTTGAACGGTGATCATATCAAACTACCTGGCCGCGAGGGAAGGAAAGGTCCCAAGTTGGGTTCCAGTTCCAGCATGAAAACCAGCACTTCAAAACCTTTCTTGAAACGACATTTTTCATTCGGATCGAAGGGGGCTAGATACGCGTCAGAGAATCACCACCCCTCGACTAAAAAGAAAGGCTTCTTCTGGACGAGATCTCTGAGGGGATGATGATCCCCGCTTTCCAATCTGCTACATTACCAGGTCGGTATATTGCAGGTTGGGTGTCCCTTTTCTAAGAACTGGTAAATGTTCAAACTGTTTTAGTATTTACCGGCGAACATCTATATCTAGCAACTCACTACAGTTCTATAACTATAATGTGGCACAGATTCGAGAAACGGATCTCCTATGCATTGGGAGAAGATGGCCCGTCAGTGGTAGAAGAGAAAGGAAGAGTATCAATTCTTTGCCTAGGAGTGAACATCTTCGAGATGTTGTGTCAACCAAGCTTAGGATTGTGCAACTACACTTGTAAAGATAAGAATGGAATTTGTGGTAGGGAAAAGAGAGAAGAGTCGACGTATTGATTTGATGTAGTAGGGAAGAAGAACTCAGTTCAAAAGGAAGAAGGGGGGCCGCCACAGTACTCAATGGCATATCCTCCTAACATTCGTATCTATGTACAGATTGATTCGTTTTCCTGTAGTTACCTCGGAACCTATTCAATGGATCTTATGGGAATCCAAATCTTCTGTTGTGTATGGTGTTTTGTTTATGTTTCAGTTTGTTTCCAGACCATCTATAATTTTACTGTATTCTGTGTTTGGTCAGGTCAGTTTACGTATTAACGTGCATGGTGACTTCCAGGATAATGTAAAAAAGGCAGGTATGGATAAAGATGAAGAGAACAGAAGATATGATCATTGCATGAAGTGGTCATTGGTGGTAGAGCTAGAGGGTGACACGTGGATCAAATTGTTTGCTAACGTGGCTGGTGCACTGGTGCAACATGAAGAGACACGTGTAAGAAACCCAGTACCGTTGCATTCGATAGAATCCCTTGGCGGGCATGCATATGTTTATCTATATATTTCTTTTGTTCTGCTCTGTCTGTCTCCACCGTTTATCAGTCTCTTGCGTATATTTCGTCATTTAAAGGTTTACAGCTTAGCTCGACGGTGATTGAGAACCCGAAAGAAGAGAAATGGCACAACTGATCAGGGACGAGTATGGGAACCCGGTGGAGCTGACCGACGAGCTCGGTAACCCGGTTCAGCTCAGAGATGAACACGGCAACCGTGTTCACATCAAAGGTGTGGCAACCACCGTCGCCGGCACCACCGAATCGCATCTCGGTGCACCGCCTGTGGGAGTCACGGAGAGGGGAAGGAGGGAAGAGGAAGGGCCGCCGTATACGTCGGCAACTACTGCTCGGCAAGGGCCGTTGGAGACCACTCATCATACGCTGGGTGACGCCCTGAAGGACACTGGTCACGCCACTGAGCGGACCGCTGCTGGCGCCATGAGGACTACTGGTCACGCCACGGAGCGAGCCGCTGCTGGTACTGCTGCTGTTGGTGGTGGGATCCTCGGCGGCGCTGCGGGCGTTGGAGGCAGCCTTGTGAGCAGCGTCACCGGGAACAAAGGAACTGATGAGAACAAGCAACATCATCCGGCCTCCGAAATCCGACGCTCCCCAAGTACCAGCTCTTCCAGCTCGGTATGTTCTTTTCTTGAGCTTAAATTTGAGTTGCTAAAAGATTTGGCCTATTTATGGTAATTGGGATTTGATTTTGGGTTGTGGATGTATGGCAGTCGGAGGACGACGGGCAGGGAGGGAGAAGGAAGAAGAAGAAAGGGCTGACTCAGAAGATCAAAGACAAGCTGACGGGGAACAAGCACAAGGACAACAAGGACCCTGTGACGGGCCAAGAATACGCGTCATCCACCACGACTACAACTACGACTACAGCGAATCCTGAACATCATGAGAAGAAGAGTGTTATGGAGAAGATCAAGGAGAAACTGCCTGGCCATCACGGACATGGTCAGCACAATCATTAGACGAATGTGAACTGCACATTAGATGGTTTCTACTTGCAAGTGTTTGTTGTCCCCTGTTTTTTTTCTTCTTCGTCTAGCCACCGCCATGTAGTGATGTTCATATGGTTGGAATTTGTGTCTTTGTTGAATTCCTCTTTTACTTTCTTTGTGTGTTGGTTTTTACCTTCGGTTTCTTGGTCTTGTTGTTAAGACACTGTCGTGGGGAGGGTTCAATTGTTTTGTGACTTCGCGTTGTATTTTCGGTCGTTATGAATAAATACATGAACAATCATTATTTTCCGTTCACCATGGATCGAATCGGAGCTGACCGGTAGTTCGAGTGAATCGAATCGAAGGCGAGTTGAATGTGATGCGATTTGGTTTTCAAGCCCATTGAACTGAACTGGATCGAGTGTAATGCACAATTTGGTTCAATGGGAGTGCGGGCATTCTACAGCTTTCCATAAACCCTGATGGAAGTGTGGGACGGACCTCAGGCTCGAGCTCCCCGCGAGTCTTCTATTCTTTAGTTCCTTCGTGCGTGATCTGGCATTTGAAGTACAAGTTGGTTTTCAAGACAAAAGACATGCACATGCCCTGTATGCTCAGATTGAAATAGATGTTGCAGCTTCGTGCTGCGAAAGGCATTCATCGACGACGTAAAAATGGTGATGCAGCAAACCCAAAAGTGGCTGCTAGCAGCAAAAGGGCACCGGACAACAGTCTGTTGGGGGGAGCTTGGATAACAGATGCATTCATGAAGCTATCATTTTGGGGATAAATGAATGAAGATCGAGTGGTTATTTCCTTAGCTATTAGTTAAGGGTTCACGAGATAATTAAGCCTTCACGAGATAATTAAGCCTTCATAACGCTCAACGCTTAGGGAAAAGTTAGGCAAAGTTTCATTTTGGGGATAAATGAATGAAGATCGAGTGGTTATTTCCTTAGCTATTAGTTAAGGGTTCACGAGATAATTAAGCCTTCATAACGCTCAACGCTTAGGGAAAAGTTAGGCAAAGTTTAAGTCAAACTACTAACGCTAAGGGAAAAGTTAGGCAATATTTAAGTCAAACTAGTTTTAATGAGTGCGAGGTATGATTAATCAAGGTAAGACGCTTAAATACTCTCGCTGATGAAGAACAAGAAAAAAGTGTGGTTAGTTATGAGCACGCCATCTACTATTGTTGTATACATGACATGACATGTCCTTTCTTTCTCTTCACGTTTTTCCTCTGACCTCTCTCTAAACCTTTCTTTTAAGGTTCTCTACCGAGGGCTGCCGCCGGCGTCTCTCCGGTGGCCGGTGGCAGCCATCTGCTCCTTCCTTTTCTCTCCAGTTGTAATCGTTTTATTTCTCTTTGTTTGCCGTCTTCTTTCAAGTCCTCTTTTGGATTTTCTCCTTCGATCCTCTTTTAGATTTCTGGGTGACCTTCTTGGCACTCTTCTGAGGTGCATCCGCAGTCACATTCCCACTTCTCAATATAATGGCGTGCAACCCCTCCTTATGATTTCTGGGATTCGGCAGGGGTTGGCCAGGAAGTGTGCCAGCCGGTCTGGAAGCAAGGGCATCTGCCAGGTGCCCGATCTTGGTGTCCATATCCTGCAAGAGTGCCTGCTGGTTTCTCTGGCCAGCTTCAATCTCGAGGAATTTGCATGCAACCACTTCCATGAATTGCTCCAAATTATTGAACTTTTGGGTACTAGTGCTGGCCAAGGTAGTCACTAGATCCCTCAGTTCTGACACGGGATCGCCCTGTGCTGGGACTGATGGAGATGCACCAGGCTGCTGGTACTGCTGTTGTGGGGGCTGATGAGAAACAGTAATACCATGGGGTGGGTACTGGAGTGCAAATTGGAGAAAACTTGGCGATTGCAATTACGGGAATATTAATACTTTTTTCCTTCTATAAATAAAATTTGCAACACAAATCGAATTTAGGTAACTTTATGCATAAAATCGATCAAAAATTATTCGATTGAGTTATTAAACTTTATTATTTTATTCTTGGTCTGGGTATATAGTTAATTAAAATGAAAGGTGTTGTAGTATTTCGCGCAATGATTTTATCTCTCCTATATCTATAAATTACTACAATAACTATTTTGATGCTTCTATTGCTGAAGACGATGTTTGATCAGTTATATAGTCCTCCTTTACTTCTCTTCCTAAACCAGACTTTGAACTTGAATGGGTTTTTGGTCTTCGTCCAAGGTTAATCGCTTCACATATGTAAGTCATTCATTTTTTTCTCTTTGTCCCATGGTTTTATCTTACTTATTAATAACAAAAACGATTTTATTTTCAGGTTGTATCATGAGAAGAACATGCAAAAGATCTATTTATTTTGATCCTATTGTGTAAACGATGTTTGAAGCCTGATGGATCTCTTGTGTCGTTGCTCCTCTTTCTGTTCTTAGGTTTCAACTTCAGTGAGGCTTTTATCTTCATAGAAGGTTCATTGAGTTGAACTGGTAAGCTATTATTCTCTTCCCAATTTATCTAAGTTTTTTGTGATTGATTTATAAAAGACATGCACATGCCCTGTATGCTCATATTGAAATAGATGTTACAGTTTCGTGCTACGAAAGGCATTCATCGACGTAAAATGGTGATGATATGCGGCAAACCCAACAATGGTTGCTAGCAGCAAAAGAGCACCGGACGACAATCTGTTGGGGGGGGGGGGAGCTTGGATAACCATTGCATTCATAAAGCTATAATTTTGGGGATAAATGAATGAAGGTCGAGTGGTTATTTCCTTAGCTAATTAGTTAAGGGTTCACGAGACAATTATATGCGTTCATAACGCTTAGGGAAAAGTTAGGCAAAACTTAAGTCAAACTACCAACGCTTAGGGAAAAGTTCGGCAACATTTAAGTCAAACTAGTTTTAATCAGTGCGAGGTATGAGTAATCAAAGGTGAGACGCTTAAATACTCTCGCTGATGAAGAACAAGAAAAAAGTGTAGTTAGTTATGAGCACGCCATCTCCTGTTGTTGTATACATGATGTGTCCTTCTTTCTCTTCGTGTTTTTCCTCTGACCTCTCTCTAAACCTTTCTTTTCAGGTTCTCTATCGTGGGCTGTCGTCGACGTCTCTCTGGTGACCGGTGGTAGCCATCCGCTCCTTCTTTTTCTCTCCAGTTGTAATCGCTTTATTTCCCTTTGTTTGTTGTCTTCTCTCAAGTCCTCTTTTGAATTTTCTCCTTCGATCTCTCTTTTATAGATGATTGTTTTCCACCTCTATTCTAAATCTTCAGATCTAGAGATCTTTTGATCGTGGTGGCAAAGGGTGGCTGGTTTTGGGTCTTAAGTTCGGATTGTCTTCTCGCCTCTCGTCTACCTCCTTGCTTCGCCTTGCTGATCTCGGCGATTCGGTGATGCCAATAGCCTTCCCCTTGAATCGTCTCGGATGCGGTTGGGAGATCAGAAGACAAAGACTCGATCTATGTGTTTTGTCGTTGGGCGCCCATTCGTTCCGAAGTTATGATCGTGCATGTTGCTTGTGGGAGCATCTGAAGACGTTCCGGTCCGATGAAGTTAGGTTTGAAGGCGAGTTTGGGTTCCGTTGGGTTCGTCTTGCTCCGATCCTCATCTAGGCTGGTAACCTCTTGCGTTCCGGCCTCGTTTCGCTTTTTGTGGATTGGATTTTCTCGTGCTGGTGCGGCGTTTCGATGGCGGTCAACGTGTGATGATTTTGCCAGCGACGACGGCTACACATGGAGATGGAATCAGCTAGGGTATGGGGTTGTTCTTCATTGGGCTCTTTGTGTGTGTTTGTGGGCTAATATGTTTGGTCTTTTGACACTTCTTTTAGGCCTATGTGTTTGGGCTTTTTTTCCTCCCTGTCTGATTTTGTTTGTTGTCTTACCATTGGGTTAATACCCACTTTGTACACTTCTAAGTTTTAATGAAACTACCTTGTAAAAAAAAAACCCTCTCTCAAATACTCAATTGGGAATTGCAATTCTAAGAAAATGAGACAAAGATTTAGAATTCATGAATGGTAACGATTCCTCATTTTCGCACTTTCCTTTTGTCCTTTGCTCCTTTTGCTTCGTTGTCGAATGCAGAGTAATCATAATCCACCAATTTTGCAATTCTTCTCTAATTCCAGTCGACCCGATCTTCTATACTGGTTTACGACGTTGTCGACCGTATGGTAGTCATAACCCATGATTTCTTCGATTTTTCTTCAACTCCGGTCTATATGGCCCTCTCTCTTCACTATCATAAACTAGAGAGCAGTCACAATCTACATATTCTATAAACTTGTAATTCTTACATATTCTATAAACTTAGTAATTCTAGGAAATCATCAATGATAGCTAAGCTATTTAATAATTTGAAAATGAACTACAATAAAATAGTTCCTTAAAGTATTTACCCCACTATGTTTGTTTAACATGCCTTCGATGCCTACGCCTTGCTAATAGAGGGAGGATTAGCTAACCAGGGGATGCTTCGTCAGATGACTAAGCTCTCTCAGCTCTTAGATTTGGACACAACAATCCAACGGTTAAAAAATGGGAATGACTTTTTAATTGCTAACAGGGTTGTTTAGGTATTATGAAAAGTTCCGAAGTATACAAAATGGACTTACAAACAGTACAAACCATACAAACAGTACATAATAGAATAAGAAAACATACAAACGGACTTACAAACAATACAAAACACACGAACTATACAAACAATACAAAGTAGACCGACAAACAATACAAACCATAAAAATGGAAAAACAACCATGTTGACTTTTGAGGCTCCATCCTTATATAGAGGGGCACCGTCCCAAAGTCAACCCGATTGTTTTTTAGACATACAAACATTACAAACATGGTTACAAAAATTACAAAGTAGACCGACAAACCATACAAAATGTAAAAACATCCGGGTTGACTTTGGAGACTTCATCTCTATATAGAAGATTTCTGTCCAAAAGTCAACAATGTTGTATTTTAGACATAAAAAACATTACAAACATGGTTGGCAAAAATGACAAACATGTTGGACAAAAACAACAAAACTTAGAAACATTACAATAGTGATCGACAAACATTACAAAGCTTACAAACATTACAGAAAAAATCGACAAACATTACAGAACATACTAACAGTACAAAATAACACTACTTACAATACAAATCGATAAAATTGTATTAAAATCGATAAATACAAAGATACAAATCATAACATAAAAGTGTACAAACTACACAAACAAATATTACAAATTGCAATATATACAAAATAGTAATATAAACATTACAAAGACAATAGACAAACATGACAAACAAGAATCATAAACAATACAAACATAATTTACATAAACATTATAGGCAAGACTTCTAAACATTACAAAATAGGTCGACAAACATCACAATTAGCACTATCGCCGGAAAATCCTCATTCACAGCCTTCGATCGTCGGAAAGCCAACTCCGATAGTGCAAGAAAATCTCTCTCTCTCTGAGTCGTGCCTGGAGAAAAGTCCCCATAAAAGTCACACCCGGAGAGATAAGTCCCCACAAAAGGTGATCGCCGGCGGGTGCTTGGAGGGGAAAATTCCCCACCACCGGAAAAGTGGACCTCGCCGGAAAAATGGTCACCGACGGGCGTGTCTTTCTCTACCGCACGGAAGGGAGAGGTCCGACTATTTTTTATTTAATTAATAAATTAAATAATTCTACAATTATTAAATTGTCCTTTATAAATTGAATTAATTGGAGCCATTGAATTTTAATGAGGTTGCAGGACTGGAATTCACTTAGTTTTTTTTTATTGAAAGGAGGTGGGAAGCAAACACCACCAAGAGAAACTGGAATTCACTTAGTCACTCCTTGCTAATGCCTATCATCTTCTTGAACCTTAACTATTACACATTATAAACTATCATTTTATTAAAAATAAAATTTAATTCACCATTTTACCAATGATCAAAGAAGTAAGTGACCATTTCTGTAAATAACCCTTTTCGGTTTCACCAATGACCAAACCGGACTAACCTGAAGAAAACTGAACCGCGAATAAGGGCGCGGAGGTCTGAAACTGCAGTCTGCCAGTGCGGCGGGACTGGACTGGGTCCGCTGCTAACTCCCAACGCTATCATTATTCTTTCTTCTTCTTCTTCTTCTTCTCCTTCAGTCTCCTCAGCTTAGTCAAAGTCGACCCTCCAGCCACAGAGAAGAGCTCACCTTCACCTCTCACTTCTTACCTCTAGATCTCAATAAAAGGGAACCTGTCTTGCTCCGGTCAGCTAGATTGCTTCCCTTGTTTCGTATCCCCAATTCCGCCGCCGGTTAGACTCCGATCTAATCCACCAGGCAGCGAGTGACCCTGTCTTGCTTGCTTGCTGCTTCCCGCCTGCCTTCTTCCTGTTTCTTGGCACTACTGTTCACTTCATTGCTGCCAAATTCCAGCTATTATTCGAAGAAGACGAATCAAAGATGTCGAATTTCTCATCTCAGCTCCGAGCTTCCTCCGCGCTCATCAAACGCCTCCGCCAAAATCGGTTTCCTTCTACCTATCCTGCGGCGGCCGCCGCCGCTAGATCGTTCACTACTACGGAATGCAACCGCCCAACCATTGTGCATAAGCGGAGTCTTGATATTCTTCATGATCCTTTGTTTAACAAGGTAGCTCTCTCGCTCTCTAATCTTAAACCCCTCTTTCCCTCCAAATTCCCATCCGCTGGGTTTCCTTTGCGTGGTTACTCAACCTCCGATTTACCTTCTGCTGTGGCAGGGAACTGCCTTCTCAATGACGGAGCGAGACCGCCTCGACCTTCGGGGCCTTCTTCCTCCCAATGTCATGACTTCCGAACAGCAGATTCAGCGCTTCAGTAACCACACGACCTTCTCTTTCTCCCTTTTGCTTCCTTCATTTTCCCTCATTCGCTCTCCCGTTTCTTTGCTATGCTGATTGCTGACTCAACTCTTGTTCTGTACTGCGCTTTTCTAATAATAGTGGCGGATTTGAAGCGGCTTGAAGTCCATGCAAGGGATGGACCCGCCGACCCAAATGCCCTGGCCAAATGGCGAATCCTCAATCGCTTGCACGACAGAAATGAAACCATGTACTACAAGGTTAATTTCTTTCATCTTCCCATTCTTCACTACGTGTCTCCTACGTACTGATGATCCTTTACTGACAAAGTAAGACACCCATTTCAATTGAATAGCATTGAGGTCCGAAATGGGGTAAACCCTTCACTCTGAGCAGCTTTCTAAGTAGAGAGTTGATACTGAATTCCCACTCTTTGGAAATAGCTCAGCCTAGTTCCCTACATAGCCCAGGATTCTCTCCTAAGTGCCATCACATTATCAGACTGACTCGTGCCAGCCTTTCATGTACGTGATGCACGATCTTGGATTTTGCCCTTTTCATTTACCTTCATCATTTGTTATCAGATAAAAACAATGTCCATACGGTAGCAGTTCCATATAATGTTCCAGTTGCATTCTTCACCTTGAGGGTTTCTTTGTGCCTTTCTACTAGGATAAAATGCTTGAGGCATGACTAATGCTTATGAAGTGGTGCTTAGGCAGTTGAAGCCTCTCATTCTCATCATATCGGGACCGATGTGTATCGTGTGGTTAATCTGGTGCGGTTTGTTTTGTTTATCTTTGGCAGGTTCTGATTGATAATATTGAGGAATATGCTCCCATTGTATACACGCCAACTGTTGGGCTTGTTTGCCAGAATTACAGTGGGCTGTTTAGAAGGCCAAGAGGCATGTATTTCAGTGCTGAAGACCGTGGCGAGATGATGTCTATGGTGTACAACTGGCCAGCAGAGCAGGTTAATTTTGTTCTTTGTAAATCTTTGATGCTACGGTCCTATATTTAATCTCTGTATTGAATCATGCCATTCATGCAATCTTCGCTTTCTTTTCTTTGTGTTTGATGCAGCTCTGTTGTGTCTATGTTATGGTCGATTAATCTTCTTACTTTGTAATTGCAGGTTGATATGATTGTTGTTACAGATGGAAGTAGGATATTGGGTCTTGGCGACCTTGGTGTCCACGGGATTGGCATTGCCGTTGGGAAACTAGATTTATACGTTGCTGCAGCTGGCATAAATCCCCAGAGGGTATGTCCTTGTTATGCATTACGTATTCCAGTGGATGGAGTCATTCACTTATGGCAACTGCATAGATACTGCAATTATGCCTACTGATTATACTGAAAGCTGGAAACTCTGGCTGTTGTTAAAAATGGATCGTTTGATGATTGCATGAAGTGTTCAAATAACCAGTCTTTTTGAAAAGAAAGCGTTTTGTACAAAAGGGTTTGGTTGGTCAAGCAGCTGAGTAAAAACTTGCAACACGGTTTTTTGGACTGGTCATAATCATGCGCACAATTCGTTTCTTGTCCTCAGAACATTTATGGTTTTCATAATATGGCATCCTCCATTGTTCCACTTGCCTCAATAGCTTAGGTATTTGATCTTTCAAGTAGTGGGCAGTAAAGAGGAATCACCTGTCTTTTTGTGGCTCTTTTGTGATAGGTGCTCCCTGTCATGATTGATGTTGGAACGAACAATGAGAAGCTGTTGAAAGACCCTTTGTGTAAGTGTCTTCACCCGAACGTCATGCTCGTACAATTATGATGGTTAGTGAAACATTGCTAATTCTACAAAAAGGTTCTTTAAACAATCAGCTATTTCACTTGTTACAAAGATTTATATGCTTGGGTAAACAGCTTTGTAATCTTTTAATACGTCGAGCATGTGGATAGACCACAATGCTCTTCCTCTCAGGAATAAGCAAATTATTCATTTTGTTCTGGAGGGTGAAATATGTCACAACTTGTTAGCCTCATAAGTATTTGATTTAGAAATCTACAACATTGCCCTTTATCTGGAAACGTTGATGAATTTATATTTGACTGTTTTATTGTGGACTCTTAAATCTTCAACCGAGTTCTTGGAGATGGACAGTGTCACTACTATCTAATTGCATAATAGCTGTAGACTTTAAGTTGTTCTTTAAGGCTCCCGTCAGATCTTCCATTTCATTCCTAGAAAACAGAGATATGCAATGGTGAATGATGGATCTCAGCTTTCACGAGAATCTTAGGTGTAGATATGACGTATGAGTACATTGTAGGCCGAGGGTTCATCAATGTGTTTGGTGAAGAGAACTTGTGTTTGATTGTGAAGATGGTCAGTTGGTTATCCCAATAATGATTGCTATCAGTTGTTATCGACAACATTTACATTTTCTCTTTTTAAATTCTCTGTTATTAGTCTATTCTTTTCATCAGCATACTCGTAGGGGTTCAATCCTTCTGTGCAAATTAATAATTTCTCTCTCAAATTAACGTTAAACAAGATCTTATTAGTCTATCTTCAGAAGGAAAAAAAGTTTATTACCCTGAAAGACTGAACCATGTAGATTTATTATTCATTTCAGATCTGGGATTGCAAGAACATCGTCTTGATGGGGATGAGTATGTTGAAGTAATTGATGAATTCATGGAGGCAGTTTATACACGGTGGCCCAATGTGATTGTGCAGGTATGCTAATTTTATGTCAGTCAAGCTGGTCATTTGATTGATTTCTCATTTTGTATATGCCTTTTGATGTTTGTTAGAACATATCTGGTGCTTGTTTCCCTTCACCGGAGATATTCTGACTCATGAAGTTTAATCAGTTTGAGGATTTTCAAAGCAAGTGGGCTCTGAAGTTATTGCAGAGATACAGGAACTCATACAGAATGTTCAATGATGATGTCCAGGTAATTCCGTTGTCTATTTGACATAATGACTGATGCCTTAGAAGTTTGATACCTTCATTCTGATAGACAGTTCATGGGTATTGCCATTGTTATCGATCATTTTGCTACACTAGAAGATTTTGTGCATTTTGTGCATTTCACTATGATCAGTTGACACTTTTCATGGGCCATACTAATTGTATTAAGTAAGAAGTGAACCACTACCAATTTTGGACCAAGGTAGTTCACTCATAAGTTCGTCACTGTTGGACACATTGCAAAATAATTGTGTGATTGAACTGCTCCTTGCGCCCTATTTTATCTTTTTGAGGTACTTAAAATATCATTGTCATAATTTTCAAGGGCATGACAGGTGCACTTTAAATACTGTAGAGAAATAACACTTGGATGAACAAACTTCTTTTCATACATTGAATTAGGGTATATTTTCATTTGTGCCCTGAATTGTGAGTTAAGGGATGTTACAGAGTAAAATACTCTGGTTGCTGGTGGCCTCTGCTTTGAGCAGAATTGTTGAACATGACAAGTTTTTGCCTTGGGCAAAACCCAAAACGGGGAAGCATAGATGTTATATTTAGGTTTGTTTGTTTCGTAATAATAGATTATAAAATAATAAATAATAAGATCTATCTAATATATATTCTGTCCCTTGTAAAGTTTACTGTCCATGAAACTGTCTTACTGCTGTGCTCAAGGAATTGCTTTTGCTGATTGTGTGGTTTTAGCTCCATACCTAGGTTTGGAGTCATCTATTACATTTTCCGTTGTATTTTTTGGCAGGGAACAGCAGGGGTTGCAATTGCTGGCCTTCTGGGAGCAGTGAGAGCCCAAGGAAGACCGATGATTGACTTCCCAAAGCAAAAGATTGTCGTTGCTGGTGCTGGCAGGTTGTTGTTTAAGTTGGCTTGTGAAACATAATTTGACAAAAGATTTTCTGTCAAGGGGTTCAACTGATTCCCTAGTCCCGATGATTGGTCCACAGATTTATGTTTATGCATGTATTTTCTCTTGTTGTTTGGAAGTCAAAGGATATGCATCTTAACGAATCACTATTTCCTTATTGTCAAATGTAATGCAGCAAAAACACTGAAATCTTGCTACCACAAATGAACTCAAGAGCTAGCAATAATTAGGGGCTGAGCTACCCCAGACTTTTAATGTGATAGGTTTGGAGGTCAATTGCAATCTTGTATAATCTTATTCAGATTTGGAGTACTGATTTCATAATCCCACTGTAATAATGTTGGTAGTACCGCATTGGATATTTAGGACTTCTTGGCCCATTGAGCTGACTGATAGAAAAATTGTTAGAAATGTACATTATCATGTTATGCTGATTCCTGGAATTCTCTCCTTCTACCTGTAGAGGCTATTTATGACTCTGGGATGAGGCACTGAGCTTTCGTTTTTGTTTATAGTGGAAGATTTGTTTGTCTCACTCTTGTACACCTGCAGTGCAGGAATTGGTGTCCTCAATACTGCCAGGAAAACGATGGCTAGAATGTTGGGAAATAATGAATCTGCTTTTGAAAGTGCACGTAGTCAGTTCTGGGTGGTTGATGCTAAGGTTTGAAAATACATTCTTCATCTCCTAGGAAAAATCTAGTTGTATTATTGCTTTCTGAGACTGATACGCTCCCTGTTTAATTTTTTTTAATATGCCTGTGTATTCTGAGGCACCAGAATCGCATTGTACAGACTTACTCAGAACTAACTAGGCAAGAGAGGGATACCTCTGTCATGTTATTGAAACCAACTTATAAATTTTTGAATAAAAATGAATTCTGACTCATAGCACACAATTTCTCTCAGCATCTCCAGCCTTGGGATGGTTCAATAAACCACAAAAATTAGTTTTTCACCAATCACAACTGAAATATTGGGTTTATAAAGTAGAGGCTGGTCTTATTCTGTTGCTGAGGCTTTGAAGCTGTGGCTTCTCTTTGCCCTTCAGTTACATTTGCTATGCCTGTATGTAGCAGAGGAGCACATGTGCTGATGTGTCATTCTTGTGTATGTTTAGGGTCTAATCACAGAGGAAAGAGAAAATATTGATCCTGATGCGCAACCGTTTGCAAGGAAGGTCAATGAAGCTAATCGTCAAGGTTTAGGTGAAGGTGCATCTCTAGTCGAAGTGGTCAGTATTTCCATATTTTCCCCCTTCTTTTTGTGAAGCCAGTGCAGTGTAACGAATGATGACTAAAAGTACTTCTGCTTGAAAATCTTGATATTTTCGTAAGAGTATCTTTCATTTAAATAAGTACTCAGCTTGCGTAATCTGTATTTAATCAGGTGAGGCAAGTCAAGCCAGATGTCCTTCTTGGATTGTCTGCAGTTGGAGGGTTGTTCTCGAAGGAGGTAACATCCAACCATAGGACCTAAATGTAGAACTGTCTTTAGATTCATGATTTCAGAGAGTTGCATGAATCTATTGTTGAACGATACAAGCTGGTGGGATTAAGCCCTAACTCCCAGATCTTTTCACTTACTGTGACTAGGTGTTAGAGGCCCTAAAGGAATCCACTTCGACAAGGCCAGCCATTTTTGCTATGTCAAATCCTACAAATAATGGTAACTAGCCCTTGCACATTTCTTTATTATATAGGTTCCCACCTTAAGTCTTAGCTTTAACTAGATTCTGTTGTCAATGTCCGATTTCAAACACTGTTTCCAATGTGTAATCCTTTTCCTATCCAATTTTTGCTATCAGCTGAATGCACTCCTGATGAAGCATTTTCCATTGTGGGCGACAATGTTATATTCGCGAGTGGAAGTCCATTTAGAGACGTGGATCTTGGTAAGTATGGTAAATGCAGTTAACTATCTGCGTTGTTCTTCAATTTGCTTGTGCTGACAGTGACACACTTAGCTGGTGTTTGATTGTAACCTCAATTTGATGTCAAATTAAAATATTATATGATGTCAATTCGCTTTCTCATATGTTAACTTGCTTGTCATTGGGTGTGAATAGGAAATGGTCGCGTTGGGCACTGCAACCAAGGAAACAACATGTATCTCTTTCCAGGGTCTGTACTTCAGCCATTTTAGCTCCTCTGCGTATTTAGTCGATGGTTATGATTATTCACTTGCATGTCACTGCTGCAGCATTGGACTGGGGACTCTTCTTTCTGGCTCTAGGATCGTATCTGATGGCATGCTACAAGCTGCATCTGAATGGTATGGAGCTAACTTCACTTATTTGCAGAAAGAGGGTAGAACATCCCAATTATCCTGTGCACCAATGTGACAGCTATGTTTTTCATAGTGGTGGATTTACTTACTGATCTTCACTTTTATCTGGGAACAAACTGGAAAACAGCCTAGCAGCATATATGACTGAAGAGGAGGTTCTCAACGGAGTGATTTATCCTTCTACGTCAAGGTATATAGCCAAGCTGTCTCAACATCTTCATTGTGGAAGGATTTAGTGGTTGTACAGAAGTTAATTATGACTTTAACCTCATAATCTTTCTTTTTGGCTTAATTCGCAGGATAAGAGATATAACAAAGGAGGTTGCTGCAGCGGTGGTGAAGGAAGCCATAATAGAGGATCTTGCAGAAGGATATCGTGGGGTGGACTCCCGTGAGCTCCAAAGACTTAGTCAGGTGCGTTTATACTTCTGCCTCGAAGATACCGTTGCATATTTTGGGACTTTTTTTACTCGTTTCTACTGCAAAAGCCGGTATAGTTTGTCGTGGAAGGTGGTATATTTGGTTGCCTCCATAGCTGGAGGAGCTCTTGGCTCTTGTAAGAACAGAGAGCAAGAGATTTTACTTGAAAGAGAACAAAACAATGACAATTTCTCTGAAAATTTTAACTGAATGTCATGATATTTGGTCAAACTGTTCCTGAAAGTTATGATATCGAGAAACAGATGAACTCTACGTGCGTCGAGCAGTGGGAAGGAAGAGTGTGGTGGTTGAGTCAGTGATCTAGGTGGCTATTTACCACTACTCTATGTGATCAACGATCTTTCTTACATTTGCCCTAGCTGCGTTGACAAGCAATTATTGCATGAAGTTGTGAATGGTTAGGGTTTTGTTTCGAACGAAGCATAAATGTGTTTTGTGTTCTGTTTTTTTTTTTTTTTTTGGTGTTGGCGTTTAAGCAGGAGGAAATCGTGGAGTACGTAAAGAACAATATGTGGAACCCTGATTATCCAACCTTGGTGTACAAGGAGGACTGAATTGACTACTAAACTCTACTCTGCTTCTACTTTGCTTGCTTGGGAAGCACACAAACGAAAGAAAGAGAAAGAAAGAGAGAAAAAAAGAGGCAACTGCAGTCTTCTAAAGGGTTGGTTGGATTTGTAACCAAAGGATCGCTTCTGCTGTATACTTCCATGTAAATTTCAGTTTGCCAGAGCTTCTGATGGATTGCAGACATTCGCGAGGGTACATTCATGCCGATTAGGGCTAGGAAGGTACTGGCGGGTGAGGGATCAATTGTCTCCTACCAGAGATGAGAGCACCCTCCCTTCTCAAACTTCTCTCAGATGGTTTCTTTTCTGATGTTCCAATAAGAGACAACTGACAATCTGTAATGTAAATCACTAAATCAGCTTTATGCTTGCTTTGCAATAACAGTCACAAACGCATTATTTTTCAATTTCTAGCTTAACCAGTAGTTTAGTGCAAGGTTTAGGAAACCTTATTGTACCAGCCGGTCGTACCGGAAATACCGGATACCGGCACCAAAACGATAGGCGGTTTTAGTGGCAGAAAACGGTTCAATCACGATTAAACTACGATTTTGATACAAAATACCCTATCACTCACTTTTACGGTATAACCTCCTGTACTGTTTCTAAAAACTTATTTTAGGTTCGTACCCTTAAATCTTCCATTGATGACTTTCATTTTTATATTTTTATCTTTATTGATCATGACAACAAACACTTGGGCGTCGGTACATGTTCTAATATCTCCCACTCCGTTGGCGTCTGGAGGAAACAACATCATACAGTTTGAAATTAACATTTCATGGAAAATTACTATAGCTTACTAAAATGACCTAGGGTTTGTTTAGCTAAAGTTAACGAGGTGAATAAATGTTACAGTTGAGAAATGAGAGTTTGTTTCATTGCAAATAGCACTTTTAAGTTTTAAGAGAACATCTTCAGGGCCATTGCAGTGCATCTAGAGCTTGTTGATGAATTTGCCTGTCTCCAGCAGCCACAACATTGAAACCTGAGGGAGGAACAAAGAAAGAATCAAAGTTTGAATCAGTATCATTTGAGGAACTGAAGATTGCAATCCGTCCATAAGAAACTATGATATGTTGAGAAATTGGTCATACTTGGAGCTTTAGAATCTTGAGATGCCTCCCAAGTGAGATCACAGCCTTTCCAATCGGTAATGATCCCGCCAGCACCTTCTATCACAGGGATCAGGGCGAGAAAATCGTAGGGCTGCATTGCAAAAGAAAACCAATTAACCGTCTCGCATCTACACTGGTTATTCCGCAGACAAGCTCGATCGGTGCTAGTGAAGCAAACACATAAGATTACCTTGAGACCAGATTCAACGACAAGATCTACGTATCCAGATGCCAAAAGGGCATAAGCATAGCAGTCACAGCCGTACAATGGCACTTTCACCTGTAAGAAACCACATATCAACAAGACTTCAATGCGCGAGAGATTCAACTATTTGGATAGTCTAAGGTTTCATATTCCACTTGCAGCAAATCATGGATTGAAAGTGTACATCAATTAGCTAAGACTAAAACGAACCTTATCTCTAACACGTGCAAATGCCTCCACAGCATCCCCGCTGAAAAGATGGGGACTAGTAGTGTACCTAAGGCAATAGGAAGGGATCACTTAGCAAGGCTATAAACAAACAGGATGACTAAACCTAAACAAGTTCTTCCATTTCTGACACTCAAAATAGAACATACAAATATGCTTGTGACAATTGCAGGCAACTGCGAGTTGAAATTTCTTCTCCGTCCAATGTTGTTCTCCTCCCAGACATCCCAATCCATCGTTCTCTTAGTATGGGCTGATCGATTATGCCTAGTATCTGCAGAACCATTTGTGAAAGAACATTAGCAGTAACTATGGAAGGTGGTGGTCCAAATTAAATCCAGAAAAGCCATGTTCTTTCAATGTTTCTGAACATATCGATTAACCCGAATGCTTACCGGTTTACCCTTGAATAACAGAGAAATGAGCGTTCCAAATAATGGTTTCCCTTATCATTTGAAAGCAACAAAAAAACCAGTCAGAATCAAACACTTACAAAACCTCCAACCTGCTAGCTGAATCTGCCATATAAGTGTAACAACAAACATTACCAGTGATGAAGCTTTTAGTTCCATCAATTGGGTCCAAAACCCACACAAAATCTGAAGAATTCTCCTCCTTACACTGCCAACCATTCTCCTCCCCGTAACTGCAATCACGACTCTTGGATAATACATAGCAACAGAAGGAATCAACAAACGAATGCTTGTTATAGTGACAGAAGAATCGACAAACAAACGCTTCCAGAAACTCACATTGCGTGAGAAGGGAAGTGCTGCAATAGGATCGAAATCATTGCTTCCTCAGCTGCTCTATCGGCAATCGTCACCGGACCTGCAATGAAATGACTAAGTTTACCCCGATTGCAAATTGGAGAGAGCAATCAATAATAGCTCAGACCTAAAACGAAAGCTCACTCAGATCGTCCTTGTCGAGAATTTCGAATTTCTTGCGGAAGTACTTCCGGATGACTTCTCCGGAAGCATCGGCCAATTTGCCGGCGATATCAGCAAAACCGTCGAGCTCCGTCGACGAGAGAAAGGAACCATCATCGGGGAGCTGCGAAGCGGAAGCACGGTGAATTTGGCGATTGAGCGAAAGAGGAAAGCGAGGCTGCAATCTAAGAGTTGGGAAGGAGAGGGTGGTGGCGGCTGCCGGAGGGAGGCTGCGAAGAGGTTCTGATGCGGCGGCGAGGGAACAATGCAGCAGGAGCTGGGAAGTGGATTGAAAGAGGGAAGGAGAATATAATTGGGACAGCATTTAGGGATGGTAGGAGCTAAGCTAAGGGCTTGAAAATGGCGGGTGGAACAGAGAGAATTAAAAGAAGAACAGAGGAACAGAGGAATTCCTCTGTTACAGAGCGATTTAACAACCGGCGCGAGTGAGTATTGATTACCTTAATGTTGCCAGCTTCTTTAATGGCGGAGATGATCTTGTTTTGATCAGCCAGCTGGTCCTGGCCGACAGTCGAGATCACGACGTCCACCAGCTTAATCGCCTTCACCAGATTCTCGTGATCATTCAGATCACCCTGCCACCAGGAAATTAAAAAAAAAACCCTCATTACATTAATTAATCCCAAATCCAATCAATTAGGGAAAACGCGAAATTGGAAATTGCCGCCGCCGGCGGGAGAAAGAAACGGTACGATGAGGAGCTTGACGCCGAGCTTGTTGAAGGAGTCGATGGTGTTGGATTTGGTGGGGCTAGTGAGAGTGGAGCGGCGAACGAGAGCGTAGGTAGGGTGGCCGGCGTTGGCGCTAGCTTCCACTATGTACTTCCCTATGTACCCCGTCCCTCCGATGATCAGAATCTTCGTCTTCTGCTCTGCCATTGGCTTCTTTCCGGCGACTTGATCGGATTTCCTTAAAGCTGAATTTGCTGATATCGCAATGCTCTGCTTCTGTGCTTTTTGTTCGGAGAGAGGAGGGCGTATAAATAGCCGTAGAAGAGGGTTTAAGAAATGGGGAAGTCAATGAGTTTGACCGCGCATTTACGGTTATGTCCTTTGGGGAGTTTAGTGGGCTGGGCTCTCTCTGTGAGCTTGCTCTTGTTTCCCTGACCCAAAAAAGCTGGTCCATGGGTTTAGTTATTATTGTGGGCGTGGTGGATTCCTAATGAGAGAGGGACAATCTTTTAGTAATTAATGTGAGTTGACCTTTCTATGATCAGTTGATCACAGATTGTAAACTCGCTTCAACCATCGAATTGGTCATTTGGTCATAAGCTCTTTGATTAATTTTATGCAACCACGACGAACTAAAACAACAACACATAATTGAGCTGTGGTTTGCCACATTACCAGCGATAACAAACAACTTAGCAGACGGTTTAATTTACACCTTGTATTCTAGTTTTTTTTTTCAATAAGATTTTGTGTTCATGATCCGATGTGAAAATAATTCGATCAATCTAAATCGGGTTCGGAAGGAAGGAATAGAGATTCAACAGACTAAATTAACACTGACAAAAACATATGATAACAATCACAAGCAAAAAAATGACGCAAAATTTGGAGAACACAGTTGTTCAAAGCCGCTTAATATCATCTGTACAATGGCTCATTGATGGAAATGTGATTCAGGAAATGACATCCATGCGTGCTACAAAATCATAATGCACACCTTCAATCCATCATTACCAAATATGTTGAAAAGAGGATGAATTGATCGTGAGAGATAAATGTCATATATTTTTAATGCAATGTTTGAATTTTAGTAAATGGATGTTTTTCAAGACCACTTCGTTTTGTTGGCAAGAGACGTGTCAACGGGTAATTAGCATAAATGGTAACAAATCTTTGCACTTAGTACAAAATGGTCACAAACCTTTAATTTGTAACAATACCGTAACAAAACTTTGAAATTGTATAAAATGGTCACCGCTATTTAATTTATGACTGTTTTGTTTTAAGTGCAAAGGTTTGTTACCGAATCGTTACAAATTAAATGTTGGTCATGTTTTGAGGTCGGGTAGTTTGTTCGTTAAGTATATGACACTAACCACTTGAACGACATATAAGACGTCAGGTCATGTGTTCATCGACATATTTGCTTTGCCGAATAAGAATGCCCTCAGTTGACCTTTCAATTTCGATACCAAGAAAGTAAGAAAGTAGACATAGTTTTTCAACTAAAAAGCAGTCTGGAACCCGTTTGTGAGCCATTGAATTCTCTCATTGTCATCCTAAACAACATAATATCATTCACATACATTAACAAAACCACCATACAACTAGAGTGAATTGTAACGGTGATTGAGCGTTCAAACTTTTGAACTTAATTTGTACAAAAACGGTCACCAAAAGTCTAATTTGCAACGACACGGTAACAAAAGTTTGAACTGGTATGAAATGGCCACACTGTTTAATTTGTGACCGTTTTGTTCTAAGTAAAAAAGTTTTGTTATCAAATGGTTACAAATTAAAGGTTTGTGACTGTTTTGTACTAAGTGCAAAGGTTTGTGACCATTTATGCTAATTACCCACGTGTCAACCAATCCCAATCTATAACCTTTAACTACCTAATATTTTGTGTAACAATGACGCATGCAACATAAGACACAATTTGTCACATACTTGATTAATATGCAAAACCCTTTTTGCCCCAACAAATTTTGGTGATGCGACTATCGGTTTTTCTTCAAGACGATAACATATCACTTGATAGCTCATACTCAACAATCCTCGTGGATTTTGAATCCTCAAGATTTTCAATGCACTGAAGGGAGAATCTATGTTAGGAGTTAGAATTTAAAAAATCAAGCATTGCTTGCATTTTCCCAAATTCGGGTACCTACGTACCTTGTCAAAATACAAGCTAAGAGACTTTGCATTGTGCAGGCCACAGAACAAGGACATGAATGCACGATCCAGCCTCTCCATCTTCCCAACGTTACTGTCCCCGGCTCAATCCAATCTAACCTTCTCCCCGACCATACAGGTCTTCGAGGTGACCCGACTTAAACGATTCGACCTTTCGAGTCCACAATTTCTCGACCCTGAAACTCGGCCAGATGTAATGTATGGATTCCAAATCTCCAGGTCCAACACCTGGGGCAGTGACACTATTATGAGATCCACCGCCTTGCAACGGAGCAGCTTCAAGCGCTTCAAACTAGGAACAATTGCAGAACCTGTTCTTGTCGTTGGATTGGCATAAGAACTGTAGAAAGAGCACTCCCTCAGTTCCAAAGTTGTCAATGAACTGAAGCTAGGAAACGCAGATGAACCATGGAACCACGACCTGACCAGCCTGAGAGACTTCTTTTGATCGGAGCTGAGAGACAGAAGAAGCTTTTCTACGTGTACTCTGCGACTCGGCTCATCGCAGCAAGAGAAATTGAGAGCAGGGGTGGCTTTCCACAAGGTCTTCCATCTTTTGCACAGGACGCTGGTTCGGACAAGGGACTTGGTGTCGAGAAAGGGAGAATGTGGAAGAGAATTTGCTCGGGAAGATGATCAATCATGTTCACTCTGTCGAGTGTCGACCGTATCTTGTTCTTCCACAGCAGCGTGATCACGATCATGGTGACTCATTTTGGGTTTCTCCGATTCCTTCTCTTCCGCCGTAGCACCCATTCTTCATTAATCCTAAAACGACAATGTTACGTACTGAAATAATTTATGTGATAGGTTCTCGCAAAGTAATACAAACTTGAATCAGAACCAAAGAAATAACAATGAAAGAAAGAAAATAAGGAAGCTAATTGGATTTCAATCTTCTCACAGGCATTAACTATAAAGCGAATACATATTAATTAAAAGTATAATAGCTCAAAACACCAATTACTGTACATTCAGACTGTTTTTCCTATTCATTGTGACTCAGAATTACTATTCACTGAGTTCTTATTGGTTGTTGCTCTGATGTGGGCCCGGATTTTCCTTCCCTCTCCCTTTGAACTGTCGACGAGACCTCTGTTTTCCATTTTCTTGATATCTGTGTAGGCGTTGGGGTCTGACGCGAAACCCTCTACGTGGAAACTCGCGTTGGTCACAAATCAATTGCCAGCTCCCGGTAAGGCCAAAAGCACTCTTGATGCTGTTGGGAAGTATCTGACAGCTCTCTCTCGGTTACTTTGGGTTGCTTTGAATTAGGGCTCAGATATCTGTTCTTGGAAGTTGGAAATCAACCCTTTTTTTTCTTTTTTTCCTTTGCCGATGCTTTTGGCGTGCATCCCTTGGGTCAGATAGGGTTGCTGATGGATGTTTTCAGGCATAGGGACTTCAACCGCCATTTTGGGAAAGGGTGATCCCCCCTTGATTGATGTAGGCGTTGCAGAGAGAGGAGAGCGTGTGTCATTGGGTGGAGGTATCAAGGAAGGCAAAAAATATCACAACAACTCTTTTTCTCCAGCACATATTCTACCTATCCCTCATGCCTCATTCCTGGTCATGAAGGAAGGGAGGAAAAGGAGGGGAGGGTAGGAAAATTTGGAGGGGAGGTTAAATTTGGAAGGGAGGGAAATTAGAGGGAATTGGAAAGAAAATGTTGTTTAATGGAGGAAAGTGGAAGGGAAAGTGGGAGGGAAAAAGTAGATTGGAAATTGTGATATGTATTATATTTTATTGATGATAGAATAGTTAAATAATTTAATTATGTGTATATACTATTTACATTAATTATGTAATGTGGATCAAATTTGTTTACACTAAAATTTTGTTAACTAATTTATTGAGTAATAACATAGCAACTAAATATATAAACATACAACAAATTACAGATACATAAATTGTAAGAGGAGCGTAACAAGTTTTTATATCTCATACAACAGTGTTATGTATCGTGCAAAACAACGTTACGTATGAGGTAAATCATCTATCTTGTTTGGTAGGATATTTTTGTGCCGAAATTGTAACCAAAGCTTATGTGTTTTATATTATTTAAACCACCTATTGGTTTAGACTACAATAGGAGATTTTTCCAGTCGAATTGTCGATAAGATACATTTTTAAGACGTATGAAAATAGATCATTTGAAATTTACCCATTTGAATCAATTAAAAATTAGTCAACCTAAGTTACACTCAAATCACTAAACACCAAATTAATAAAAACCCTACTTTAAGTATTAATATAATATTTTAATTAATCAAAACCATTTAACCATAAGGAAAGAAAATAAAACCCCAAACCCACTACTCTTCTCTCTCCCTTCTCTCATCTTTTACCTCTCTTCAAAATGCTCACATCTTCTTGAGTAAATTGCAAGGTTCGTCACTAGAATTACAAAAAAGGTTCATCTTTGGTCACTAAAAATATTTAATTCCATTCATGGTCACTAGATTTAGAAAAACAGTCCAAATTTAGTCACTCTCCGTTAGTCTCCGTCCGTCTCCGTTAACACCGTCAGTTTTTTGCTGACATTGCTAACAGACTCGCCTAATCAGCCAATTTCAACCATGAAAAATTGAAACCCGACCCACCACATCATCTAAACCTGCCACGTCATCTAAATTATAACCCAACACATAACCCAACCCAAAACCCATCTAATCAGCCAATTTCTTCGGCAATAGCTCCACTGTAAGATCCAGATTCGCCACCGACTTCCCCTGCATCATCTGCTGCTCTGCTTTCAGCTTGTGCGGCTGGATCGATCGGTCATTGAGGAGCTCGCCGCTGGTGCCTTTGTGGAGCACTCGCTGGCATGCTACAAACTTCCCGGAGCTCCCACGCCATTTTCCTCGAGAAACCAGCAAGAATCGAATGTCGTTGCTCTCAACTCCGGCAATGATTTGTTCCATTTGATGTTTTGAGCCAGAGAGGAAGCACCCATCGTCCTTTCACCTCTGCATCTGGTACGTAGACATCATTGTCGGATCTTGATTCGACGTGCGGTGGAGAGTGTCGGAAGTTCGCCAGCCTGATACCGCGAATCATCACTAACACATCGAATGATTTTGGGATTTGGGTTTCTTGGAAGCTTCAAAAGAGGCGAAGAAAAGAATAACATGACCCAAAATCGTGCTCCAGTCCTTGGTTGCTGTGGAGGATGTCGCCTTCATTGCCATTTATTAGCGAGATTTCAGATCTACCTGCTGGAGAGATTTGGGGCTGGTGCTCGACGGTAGTTATGGATCTAGAGCTGGTTGTTGAGTGAAGGGCAACGATAGAGAGTGGGAAGAACGAAAACAATGGGCTGGTCAACGCCTCTCCTCACATTTATGTACGCCGCTGAAGAAACCCAAAACCCCCCCACCGATGAAGAAGAAGAAAAGATGGGATTGTCGTCAGGATTCGGTGGACGAGATTGTCGCCGACGTTAGGTTTATCAAAATGAAGTGGGTGAGATTCTCGCCGGGATTGGGTTTGGGAAAAAGGAATTTGGAATTTTGGGGCTTTTTTGGGTGTTATGGCATCAGATATGGGGAAGAAAAATGAACAAAAAATAGAGAAGATGGATTTCTGATACGGAAATAAAAATGGGATAAAAGTTATTTTGTTTGAGTGGGTCGGTTCATAGGGCAAACTGGTTCAAGGGTTAGGTTGGACAAGGTTACATGGCGGGTCGGGTTTCATCATTTTCGGGTTAAATTAGGCTGACTAGACTATTCTGTTAGCCACGTCAGCAAATAACGGACTTAGTTAACGGAGACGGACGGAAACTAACAGAGAGTGACCAAATTTGGACTGTTTTATTAAACCTAGTGACCACAAATGGAATTAAATATTTATAGTGACTAAACATGAACCTTTTTTGTAATCTCAGTGACCAACCTTGCAATTTACCCCATCTTCTTTGTCCCCTAAAAAATCGATCTAAACCCACCCTCTTCTCATCATTCTTCTTTTTCAATTAACATCTCCAGGAAAAAGAAATCTGAAATCAAGTTTCCCCTCTTCTCCTAGATCGTGTGTCCCTCTCCTCTACCCGTATTATTTTCTGAAAAACAGAGGGAAGCTGATTACTTTTTTTTTTCTTCCTTTCTTCTTTCACCGCCGACCATGAGACCCGACGGTGACGACGACGGTCTGATCTATGGAGGTAAGTGAGCTTGCATGTAGCAATCTTCGATTTTCAGATTTCGATTTGGATTTTTGGATTTTAGGTGAGGTTTCGGACGGGAAGAAGATAGGAGAAGGCCGCCGCTGTCCTCGTCGCCTACATGATAGAAATTGGAAGAGTCTCAATCCAGGTCAGATCGTGACATGCATTTTCTTTTTGGGTGTGTTTTTGTTGTTTTTAATTGAGCTTTTGTTCGTGTTTTATGGTCCTGGTTAGGTGGAGAATTGGGAAGTAGATCAAAGAAGATGAAGGTTAGCGCATCAATCTATTTTGGGAGATTGATTTTTTGGCCGATGGAAGGACAGAATGGCAAAGATCAAGCAAAAGTGCTCTGTTTTCTTTTTCTTGGTTCAGTTGTTCTTCCTTGTGGGGGGATAAAGAAGACGAGATGAGAGAGGAAAGAGGACAGAGGAGAGCCCAATAAAGAATCAATTAAACTATGTCCAAAATGGTTTCTCTCCTTTTCTCTCCAATTTTGAGGGTTGAGTTGAACAGTGACTAGTCCTCCCTTTTCCCTCCCCTTTGACACTGTGCGAAATTTCGGAAACGGGGGAAAGTGTATCGATATTCCAACTTTCCCTCGTTAACTTTCTTTCCCCCCCTTTTCTGCCCTTTATGAATAGAGTGTTACTCATCCCATTTCTTTTCGCTCTTTATGAGATCCGTCACCCATCTCTTTTGGATTTCTCCACATGAAACTATTATCAGTTCTCACCCCCTTCTCACATCAGATTATTTCCGGCGACCACCGGGATCAGAGAGGAAATTGGGAAGATCGGTCAGAACTATCCAAAAGAAGAGACTGTTGGGTGTTGTATCTTCATCGCTGACTACCTCCATGGTGAGAAACTGAATAGCGGATTCAAGTGGATGGTCGTCTGTGCATCTAAAGGGTATTCCAGGAGGTTGCATCTCCGGTGCCATTGCTGCGACCGCCGTTTGGTAGATGAGGTAAGCGCCTGTGAAAATTTTGCTTTAAGGTGATTATTCCCCCCCCCCCTCTTCAGATGAAATTGTTTTTCTGATCTTAAGTGGGTTTGTTCTCTCTTTCTTCTCAAAGTGTTTGTTTGATACTTTTTACAGGTTTATACATAGTCTATGGTCTCTCCGAGAAAGGAATGAGACCCATAGGATTGGAACGATGGGAAAAACACGCTGACTACAGAGATGTGAAAGATCCCTGATGCTTTTGTGTAATAATAGGTCATGCTTTCTCTTTGTATTTTTCTTTGTTTCTTTGTGTTTTAGGTTTGGTTTGCTCATATGAGTTGTTGTGAGCCCTGATTTATTCCTCCACCTCTTTGTGGTTCTGTTTCATGTCTCATGTCTTTTTTGGAGCCAGGCGGAGTTCAGAGCGATCATATTGCTGGCTTCAAAACTCGAGAGAGAACTCTGGAAATTCTTGGATTCATATACTTTGTTCATTTAGATTGCATGTATTTTTCTCTTCTCTATGTCTACATTTGCAACGATTGTACCAATGATTTTTTCCATGGTGCGGTTTTGTTTTCACGATTTATTCCCTCTCTAACGATGTCCTTTGTTTCTCTTCTTTTAATATCTGGGTTTGATGTTTTATTTGCAGTCCTTTTTTTCACCTTCAAAAAGGTGGTGCTGGTAATCACGATGAGTGAATAGCAGGGGTTGATCTTAGACTTAAAGGTAGAGAAGTTTGCTATTTTCTGATTGTTGACTCGGTCTTTGGGTAACTCCAGTCTCCATGGTATAAGGATTCTTCTCTGCTTTTTTCCTTTCTTTTTTGTTAATTGTAGTGTTGGTCTCTTCTTAATCACTTGATTCATGCTTTAGTGTATAAAATAAGAGAACTAATAAAATTTATAAGGGGTTGGTGAACTATCTCAAATTTTCTCATCCCCTGGAGTCCTGGACATCACTAAACGATTATAGTCCAATTGCCTAATGACATATTTCTAGGCATCGCCTAGAAGTTTTGGGTAATAGATTGCTTTTCGTGTGATTAGCTTGGTTACTTACAGTTCCATATATATATATACCGTTTAAGGACTTCTCTTTTTTTATTCAAGTTCATCACCATTATCAAAAAAAATATACCGTTTAAGGAAAAACATGTTCTTCTGGTTTTTTTAATAATAGAGTACCAGATATGTGATGGTTAATGCTCAACAGTATGGCATAGCTGGACTTCCTCATTAATTTTCTGTGGTGGCTATTAAGCCAGGATACTAGTATGGTTTGGTTTGTCAGGCTAATGGTGATGATCGATTGTCACTGTCCATGGTTAATCTTCAGCCTATATCTTCTTGCATTTGTACATTTTTTGTAAAGTGAGAATGTTCTTCATTTTGTCGATCACTCTTTTTTTTTAGTTTTGATTCTGAACTTAATTCATATATATTAACTCTGTTACTAACTTTAGATTCCTTCACACACGTTATCTGCAACTAATGTATGAAGATGATTTTGTTTGTTTACGAGGGATCTTTTGTGTTGTTATAGCGTACGTCGGGGCGTACGCTAGCCTACCGTACGCTCATTGAGTTTTGCTATTTAGACAAAGAATTAATCGGAGTTTGGAACATGATACTATACCCTAACCCCTAATGAGTGAATCCCAGTCCCCAATTCACTAACCCAAAGCATGAGATTCGTTTAATCTTAAAAATGAAAATCAACGATTCTGATTCGTCGAAATTTTCATTGGTTTTCATTTTAAGATTAAACGAACCTCATGGTTTGGGTTAGAAAATTAGGGACTGGGATTCACCCATTAGAGGTTAGGGTATAGTATCATGCCTCAAACTCAGATTAATTCATGATCTATATAGCAAAACTCAATGGGGCGTACGCTAGGTTAGCGTACGCCCGGGTGTACTATATATATATGGTGCCTTCTATGGTACCCCGGGTGAAATTCGGGGTACCGCATACGTTGAGTATGAAAACACTATCTAGACCTCGAATTAGCAGAAATTTTCGGCGTGATACTATACCATAACCCTTAATGAGTGAACCCTAGGTCCTAAACATCTAAATCATAAACAACAAACCCTAAGATGGTACATTGATTTTTTTGCCTATATTTGGACGAATCATAACCATCGATTATTATTTCTAATTAATACCTAGATTTTGATCTTTAAGGGTTAAAGTATAGTATCATGTCAGAAAGATCAGTCAATTCAAGTTTTGGATAGCGTTTTCTTACTCAAGGTATGCGGTACCCCGGATTTCACCCTGGGTACCGTAGAACTCCCCATATATATATATATATATATATATATATATGGTGGCTACTTCGGTGCACCCACTTTTTTGGGTACACTGAACGCACCCACTTTTTTGTTTAATCTTAACCGTTAAATATATCTAACGGTTATAATAATTTAAATTAAGTATTAGCTAATAAACTATATTATATTTATTAAAATAATTTAAGCTTATTGATAATTGCAATTAAACCCCTAACTTTAACCCTCTTCTTCCCCGTTTCTTTCCCCTCACTACGAACCCCACTTCTTCCTCAGACCAACATAAACCTCTCTATTTCTCCCTCACACAAAAGAGACAATCAGTTCTTCCACACAATTATACATATTGATTCCTCCGTGAAAGTAATAAAACAATGGGAGGGAAATTTTTTTCATTTCCTCAATTCTTAGTTTCTTCCTATTTGAAGAATTATGGGGCCGATGAATGCCAGTGCGCCGCCGACGCGGCTCCATGATCGACAAACCTCCATCTCGATATCTCCAATCCATCCAACCCTCGTCTGCATCCATTCCGGCCTTGCATTGATTGATTGATTCACGGAATCATCAGATCTGGGGAGCTGCGGCGGAACTTGGAGGAGGAACATGGAATTGGCGACATGCAAGGAGGAATGACAACGAAGACTCTATCGAATCCGACGGGGAAGTTGCCGGAAGGAGTAGCTCCTGAAATAGGTCCGGCGACAGGAACGGAGTAGGGTGAGAGGTGACAGACCCTCAATAAAGCAAAATCGACCTTTGACGGAACGGAGCAGAGGAATGATCGATCGAGTATTTCTTGCCCTGCCGATGTTCAATCTCCGTCCGACTCCGACTCGACGACTCCGAGAAGACGATTTGATGGATTTGCTAAAATAACGGGCTGTAGAGCTGTTTTAATTAAGCGTGTGTAATTTTAATGGGTCGAGCTCACGCTTGGAGAGCCCGTAATAAAAGGACTAGGCTCACTTCACTTACCGCCCAACGTAGGTGTTGAGAAAAAAAAAAGAGCCTTCGAAAAAGAAGGGGGAAATATTTGCTGAATGTTTTTTTTTCCTTACGGAGGAAGGGGGGAATTTAAACTTCCCGAAAAAGCAAAATTTGGTGAAAAATTTACCACAAAGTTTTGGAGACAAACCTCAAAATTATTATTTGGAAATCTAATAATCCTAGTTGCAATTATTTACCTTACGTTTTATCTGCTTAAGTTTACTATTATCGTCTTAATATCAACCGTTTTAACATGTGAACATTAAAAAAGGATAAGATGGTAATTTTAACTTTTGAATTAGGATAATATAATAAAATTATGGCGACAATTAGCAACCCTCAATTAATAACCATATTTGATTAATCTAACAACTATTATGTGAAAGACATTACACCTTCTCTTGTTAATAAAATGTAATTAAGTCATCAGTAACATTTTTATTTAAGTTTCGAAAATACTGGTGGATCGAAAAATTAATAGATATATGCCTTGGTCAAGTTCTAGAACACATGCTTCAAAAAATTATTGTGGATCGAAGTTTCGAAAATACTGGTGGATCGAAAAATTAATAGATATATGCCTTGGTCAAGTTCTAGAACACAGGCTTCAAAAAATTATTGTGGATCGAACAACTAATCTCTGGCTACAATGCTTTTAGTTTTTACCCAACCAAAATTGTATCAATGTGCTTACTTTACACATTTAGATGCACAAAATGTTTTTAAAACCCCCTACTAATAGGCTAGCGCCATCCCTGTCTCAAACACCCTTTCCCCAGCTTTTCAATTTTCATATACCGAAAGCAGAGCAATTAGTGGAAGACGACGAGGAAGGGCTCGGCAACGGAGAAATCTGATTCTTGTTATTGTTGTTGTCGGTGGTGGGGCGGGAGGAAAAGGAAGGAGAGATGAGATTTTGAGTAATCTCCGACCATTCGTTGTTGATATTGGTGTAACAGAAACAGCGTCCCCGCCGGATCCTGCCTCATCGTCGTTGTGGTCATCGTCATCCTGAAGGTGCTTCTTCAACTCCTGGAGTCGATTCATCATCTTCTTCTCCGGCTCCTGGCCACCACCCGTCGCTGCCGGTGGAGCACCAAGTGTAACACCAATTCCCCTGTTATTCTGCCTCATCTGAATAGGCTGAGTCGACTTGACCGAGTTCGCAAACAGAACTCTCTGCACAGTTTGAATTGGGGATTATTACTACTTTTCCATGTATTTATACTTTTATAGGCTAGACCTCAATTGCTGAAGGAGCGGGAACCCATAACGTTGTTGCTGCTGATGTTGAGAGGTCGCCGACAATTCAGGCGAGAAGTAATTGGCGGAGAATTCTATGGCGAAAAGAGTTGAAATCAGAGAAGTAGTAGTGGTGGTATTACTGTCTGCAGGGAGACGATGATGCAAGGGACGGCCAGATTGGTGCGCTGGTGGTGGAGGACTAGGATGCAGGCCACTGGAAATTAATTGTCGCCGTATCGACAGGGAAGAGGGGAACACAATCGTGGAAGAAGAGGGTTTGGGGTCTAATTGCAATTATTAATAAGTTTAAGTTACTTTAATAAATATAATATATTTTATTAGTTAATAATGATTATAAATAAATTAAATTATCGTAACCGTTAGATGTTATCAATGGATAAGATTAAACAGGAAAGTGAGTGCGTTCAGTGCACCCAAAAAAGTGGGTGCACCGAAGACGCCACCATATATATTATCTATGAAATCCCCTAACTAGACTGCCTTCATTGGTTTGAGTTTTTGTTGGTTAGGGTCACTTATTTTGCTGCGTAAGTGTGCTGATTATCTCCACTGAGATTGTCTATGCTTTCTAAGCTGCCTGTAATTATTTGGCAGGCTTCAGTTCGCTACTTTTTATATGTCAATTAACTTGGTTTTTGTGGTTTCTTTCTTGAGATTGTTTGCTTTGACATTGATTGCCTACTTTCTTGGCACAATTATTAACAACAAACAAATCTTATTGTTGTTGTAGGTGAGCTGCATAGTTCCCCTGATAATCGTGGACAAGGAAGGTTTCAGTAGTAGATTGGGACTTATTTTTTAAGGTTTAGTGGTGTTGATTAATTAGCAAACTGAAAACATGTAAACTTTTTGTATTAATTATGCTGCTGGGCTATTTCTTGGTGAAACCTCAACTTTGAAAGTATAATGCTTAATGCTCCTGTTACTTAGAGAATAAAATGAAGATATGTTTTTGGTTTGGACACTTATTACTGTGTGTCCATGTGATACATCAATTAATTAGTTTAGTTTAGTTTTTTTTTATGAACTAAAAAATAACCCATATCCCGCCGCGGAGCGCGAAAACTAGTTTATATGTTAGAAAAATATGACCACTACTCTCGCAAGAAAACGATAACAATTCCCAAGCAATAACTAAAACAGAATTCAAATCCAACTAGAACAATGAATTATAAAGTTATAATAATACACATGTGCATATGTATCATGGAAAACAGAAACCTAATCAGCAACTTGAACTGAAAGGTTTCTACCTCTTAAGGGTAGCTGAAGCTGCTGCTTGATTTCAGTGCAATCAGACAAGTTTGTTAAGGTACTCATCCACGGTGGTGTATTTGACCTCGGGGTAAAGCTCAGAGGCTTCTACTCCAAAAGAAGGTTCGATTTCGAAGTTGGTTTGATCTCCCTTCACGAACACCGAGTGGCGAATTGATAATACGACACCCATTGGGGTTGCAGACTCTACAGACAAGTTAAGAAAGGATCTCAGAGACAGCCACCAAGGCATTAAATTGAGCTACATCATGCTCAGAAGTACTTGAAAGAGGAATATATTCACCTTGAATGTTCTTCAGGAGCTGTTCCTCTGAGATGTAAACCCTTTCAAGGGTGTGCCCGATCTTCTTCTCCCACATGGACACAAGATCGTTTAGGGAGATTGTGTTGCCTGGTGGTCTTACGTACAGAATCTTGTTCAAGGTTCTTGGATCATCCACTGCTTTGATGGTGTAGGTTGCAATCTCCTCCTCCGTATTAAAAATTGCTGCTCATCGAAACATCAGATCGTTACATCTCTATTCCGAAAAGTTCAAGTTATGGAGATGAAGCTAGTTCTCTACACAACAGGCCAGAACAATGAATGACACCACATTCTTAAATTGGCATCATCAGTCAAAGTGCAAGAATTCCAGTTTACTTGCTGGCTTAGCCGGCAGATGCATTTGTTGGGTGTTTACCTTTAGGGTTTCCATCTCCGAAGATAACAACTTTATCTCGCGGTGGAGCTGTGGTTCCGAGCTGGGTCAATGTGGCGAGAAAGATGCCATTGAAAAGGTTGGAGGATACGTAGGTGAAAGGAATGCCTTCGGACTCAATAGCCCGACGCACTTTAGCCTTGCTGGCGAATGCAGTTTTAGCTGGCTCCACAGCGTTGACATGATCCACATCGCTGCCGAACTCCGACGGCAAGAATCTCTAGGTCAAAGAAAGAACACAAAATTTGGGAAGTTTTTCATCCGTATTTGTTTCTCAGAGACAAAACGTCGAACACATAGCATGCACGATGATGAGGATTCAAAACAGAAGGAAAAATACAGAGTGATGATCGAACTATGATAATGATGATCGACCTTGATGTTTCCTGCTTCTTTGATAGCGGAGATTATCCTGACTTGATCGAGCAGCTGGGCGTAACCCACAGTAGAAATCACCACATCCACTTGCCTGATCGCCTTGACCAAGCTCTCGTGATCGTAGAGATCGCCCTGCAGCCCACAGCAAATAGGAAAACTTGTCAGATACCAAGCGGAAACAGAGTCAAAACTTGTGGAATGAGCATCGCGGAGACTGGAATTTGAACTCACGGTGAGGAAACGGACGCCAAGGGTCTTGAATTTGCCGATGACGGTTGATTTCTCGGGGTTAGAGAGAGTGGATTCTCTGACGAGAAGGAAAGTAGGGTGACCAGATTGGGCGCTGGCCTCGACCAAGTATTTTCCGATGTAGCCGGTGCCTCCGATGAACAGATTCTTGCTCTTTTCCGCCATATCTGTAGTTCTGCCGGCGAGACTGCGGGTGATTGGACTGAACTCATGGTAGTTAGAGAAGAGTGTGAAAAGATAAGGTCAGTCAATGCGGGGTATTTACACCATAGATGCTGTAAGTTTTCGTTTCTTTCAATTTGAGACCACCGGAAAAATAAATGCATTAATTTCGACAACATTGAGTCTAATTGTTGACTTGTCTCATCTAGGAATGACAATTTCGACCTGACCCGATTTACCCGACTTGTTTGTCCTGTTTTGGGACAGGTCGGACCCGCACCGTAGGCGGTGCGAGGCGGACATGTGTACTTCTCATGGACCCGACCTGCCCTGGCCCGCCCCATTCTCGACCTGTTCTTGCCTAAATTACATGTAATCTTAGTAAAATTACTTAGGATTTTTCTTTTATTACATTATATTTAACTATATTTTATCATATTATGGTTTTTTTTTGTCTTTTAGTGAAAATAACAAATAGTTCTAATGATTTTTGCATAAATTACGTACCCATTGGGTCGACCTACCCCGACCCGCGCCCCGTGATAAATTACCTGACCTGCCATGGGGCGAGTATGGGTATCGAGAAACCCGCCCCGGACCTGCCCCATTGCCATTCCTACTCTTATCTGGTCACCAAGCTCCTTTGAAAAAAAAAAAGACTGCTAAACAGAGTGTACTGACCTATTTAAAGCTTCACCTATTGACTACTATATAGGTTCGCAAAGGTTTACATCTGTACGAGTTTTAGGAATAGTAACTTGTAGCTTGTATTATTATAAAACAAATTTTTTTTTATATAGATTACAAGACTTGGACAATAAGTAAGAGAACCACAATACTAGAAGGATACAGAAACACTAAAAACCAATGTTGTCAAAACCGAACCGGGCATCGTTCCGGATTATCGAGAGGTTCAAGGTTTATCGGATAACCGGTACTTAACCGGTATTAATAACCGGTCATAAACCGGCAATATCCTACTTGGTGAAGTAAGCAATTGAAAGTGTAAATTATTATTTCTATTGTTTTATTTTGCTAAGGATAATATCTCCCCTCTAAAGAAGAATAGAAAGAGAATTACTATGTCAAAACTGAAAATGGAGAAGAGAGGCCACTGCTGCTAGGTTAGGGTAGAGAATTGAAACAGAATTTTTCCATTTTTAGTTTATTTTGTATGTACTTTTACTGTTTGCCGTTAGCTACTTTTTTTTTCTTTTTAATTGAAAGAAAGCTAAAAGTTACGCGTCTATCTATTTGCTTTTCAGAAGATACAGTGGGAAAAAAGGCGCACAGTGCACTGCGACCGGAATTAGGCTTCCGTGACCGGATTGGTACCCGGGTCCGGGTTTTTCCGGTTTGACCGGCCGGTCCGGACCGGGTTTGATAACCCTGCTAAAAACTATACTATAAGGTAGGGCTGTCATTTCGGTTGCCGGTTAGCGGCTAACCGGACGGTCTAACCGTTAACCGCCGGATAGTGGCTAACCGGAAACCGAAAAAACAGAGGGGCGGTCGGTTGACGGAAGGGATCAGTGGTCAAGCGGTTAGCCGAGAAACCGAAGCCGGTTAACCGGCTAACCGACGATAACCGACTGAGACGAAACGACGTCGTTTTACCTACTCTTAAATAGGCCAACTCACCCCCAACCCTAGCACTGCGCCTTCGTTCTCCACTTCTCCCTCAACCACCGCCAAAAAAAAAAATACCAGAGAGACAGCAAGAAGAAAGAAGAAGAAAATACCCCGCATTCGGAGAAACAAAAACCATGTCCCCAACCAAACAGAAGCACCGGAGCTCCGCCTCCACCTCGCCCAGATCCACCATCGATGCCGCCACCGTACCCAATCCCAAACATGTGACTCAAATACACCTTCCCGTCTTTCACCGTCGCCGCCGTCGACAGCCGATGAGAAGGCCCCTTGAAGCTACCCACCACTTTAGCCGTCTCCCAACCGTCGGAGCTCTCCACCAGCCTGGCCGACGGGCTCGAACCGGCCACCACGAGCTGGGTCGGGGACAGCAGCTCCATCCCGTCTCCGAACGCCAGCGAGCCTTCCACGTGGACCAATCCGACGCTGACGGCGTCTGGAAGCCGGATCTTGAACAGGTTGCCGGTGAAGGTGTGGATGACGAGCAGGTAGCCGTCGGGGTGGTAAACGATGTCGTTGAGGCCGACCACGGATTTGTACCATTGTTTTGGGGCGAAGAGAGGGTGGGTGATTGTGGAGATGAGTTGGCCGTCGGGACCGCACAACGCGGTCTTCTACTTCGCGTCCCCAGCGGTTCAAGATCTTTGTTTCCATGGAGAAAGAAGGTGAGAGAAGAAGAAGGAAGGAGAGAGAAGAGGTCTGGTGGAGGAAGGAAGGAGAGAGGAGGAAATAAGGAAGGAGTGGTGGAGATTTTTTTGTTTTATTTATTTAATTTTTTTTTTGGAAAAGGTAATTTTTTCGGTTGGCCGGATAACCGAGCCCAAAACCGGAATCGCTCGATCGGTTGGCCGGCTAACCGTGCCCTTTCTTCGTTCGGTGGTCGGCAGCTTAAAGGGGAGTCTTGATTTAACCGATAACCGGGTTTTCGGTTAAACCGAAACCGACCGGTTGTCACCCCTACTTTAAGGACAAGGAAATATAAAATTATTCCTAATCCATCTCTAACAACATCAACATACTAATGTGTTACAGAATTGAGTAAGAATTCTATGAGACTCCCGGCAAAATTAGTCCAGGCAAAATTCAGTAAAGTGAAATAATATAAAGTCGTCATTCCGCTGTAAACTTTTCTTGTACATAATTAGAGTCTTCAAAAGGATAGCAGATATCTTGATAATAGTGACTTGATAATTCTTGTGGATATTTAATCCTCAAGGTCTCCAATACAGGGAAAAAACAATGTTGTTTATTCGCCAACAGCTTGATTTGTCCAAGCCGAACATCGAATTGTTTCCACGGCCCCGTCAGACTTCCGCAACGCTATAAAAAAAAATGTTATAATCAAGTTACATAAGTTGGTTTGCGTAGCCAAAGCATGCACAGTTTCGTATTTCTTACACGTTGCTCAACTTTATTACGTACTCTGTCAAAACGCAAGTCGAGAGACGTCGCGTTGCGCACGCAACGCAGGAAGGCAACGAACGCACGAGCCAGCCTTTCCTTCTTGCGACCATCACAGCGTCCCGGCTCCTCCCAAACGAGGCGGAGGCTAGCGCGATCGAGCGATGGCAGGCCGTAACTGATCTCACCATCGTCGTCGTCCAGATACCGCCGCGGCACGTAACCCGAAAACGCGAACGATTCCACCTTCGGGGCCGACAGTTTTCCGATCTCAAAACAAGAGGACGGATTCCAAATCTCCAGATCCAGCACCTGCGGCGCCGACACCTTGACGCGGCCGCTCCACCGGCAACGGAGCAGCTTCAGGCACTTCAGGCTCGGGAAATTCGCAAAAGAAACATGTACAGTTGCTGAATTACAAGTAGTAGTAGTAGTAGCGTCGCCCTGCTCCTCTTCGTCGTCTTCTCTGCCGCCGTAGAAACTGCACGCAGTGAGTTCCAATCTCTAACAGCAAATGCAGATTTGCAACTTTCCCAATCTCCAATTTCAAACCCAATGGCTCTCTCCTGATCAATGAAGAAGAAGACTGAAGTGGCGTCGTTTCTGGGTTCGAGTTTGCTGTTGTCTGCGACGCTGTCGTTTTGTTTAGTTTCCTTTGCTGTTGCTGAACGTTGTCATTTCAGACTTTCGTCTTTACCTTTGCTTACTGCACAAGCACTTTGTTTCCAAACCAAGCTACCAAACAAGATTGTGGAGCTGGTTGTCTTCTTGCTTGTAATCAGCCTATATAAGGCAGAGATGAAATGAAAGAGAACAAGTCTTAGGGTTTTCAGTTCAATCTGGTTGTTATGGTATCAGAGCCATTCTTCCAGACCTAGCCGCCGCCCGCTATGGCTGAAAACCAAGCAGAAAACGCTGCTGCTCATATGCAGCAAAACGAAGACAATGCAGCTCCTCACATTGTCTATCCGATGGAAGATCCATACTTCCTCCACGGTTCAGAGCAGCCAGGCTCCCTCCTGGTTGCAGATCGCCTCAACACAACAAACTACAACGATTGGAGCCGTGCTATGTTCAATGCACTTGCAGCAAAGAACAAGCTAGGCTTCATTAATGGAACCATACCACAGCCTGCAGAAACAGATCCCAAGTATGGAGCTTGGATCAGGAACAACGTTATGATATTAAGCTGGATTCAACAGTCAGTAGATTCAGAAATCAGAAAGACCATTCTCAGCATCAAATCAGCAGCAGAAGCATGGAAAAGCCTTCAAACAAGGTATGGATCTGGAGATATTGTTAGAGTTGCTGAACTTGAAGAAGCCCTCTCAACTTTGAAACAAGGTAACCAGACTATCACAGAATACTATGGGAATGTCATCACTCTTAGGGATGAGCTTGATAATTACCAACCTCTTCTGCCTTGTGACTGTACTCCTACAAGTCACTTAGACTGTCGTGCCATGAAAAAGGTCTTGGAGTATCAAGAAACTAACTATGTCATCAAGTTTCTCAGAGGGCTTAATGAAAACTTTTCTGGAGTTAGATCTCAGGTTCTGTTTGGGGATGATCTTCCTAATATCAACAGAGTGTTTCAAAGAATGTTACAGCATGAACGTCAGCTCTATGGCACTCAAACAGGCAAGATGATTGCTTCTGTTCACATAGAAAACACTGCCTTGGCCATGCCAGGAATCCTGAGAAGGCCTTCTCTCCCACAGAAAAGAACCTTCTGCACCTTTTGCACGAAGGACGGTCATACAGAGGATACTTGTTATCAGAAACATGGTTGGCCACCTGGTTTTGGTACTAGACCTCCTCCTTCTGTTCCTCCTAGGGTGGTTGAATGCACATTTTGCAAGAAGCATGGACACACAGCTGATATATGCTTCAAGAAGAATGGTTTTCCCTCTGATTTTGCATCCAGACCATCCACCTCAGGTTATGGTAGAGGAAGAGGAAGGGGTTATACTAACACTGCTAGTTCTCCTCAGCAGGAAGATGAGATCAAACTCACCAGGTCTGAGTATGAAAAGCTAATGAACCTCATGTCATCCCACAAGGGCCAATCTTCCCATGCTGCTGCTGCCTTTGTCACCAACAGAGGTAACATTTCCAATTGTCTCTTGACTGGTTCTATGGTCAACACTATTTCCCATACAAAAGACAATTGGATACTTGATACAGGGGCTTCTGACCATATAGTTTGCTCCCTTGACTTTCTTGATAATACTCAGTTACTCTCCAATGCCTTTATTACCCTACCAACTGGTGAGCAAATACAAGCTACACATACTGGCACCATTACCTTGACTGAGAATCTAATCCTCTTAGATGTTCTCTATGTTCCAACTTTCACCTTCAACTTGATTTCTGTCAGCAAGCTTACCACCACCAACTCTTTAAGCCTAACTTTCCATTATAACCTTTGTCTCCTACAGGATCTGAAGCAGATGAGAGTGATTGGTTCTGCTAGATTGCTCAATGGCCTCTACTACCTAGAAGTACCTAATTCACCTAAACACATCTCAGCTGTCAGCTCTCCTTCCACTGATCTGTGGCATTTTAGATTAGGACATGTATCTCATTCTAAAATTCCACTCCTCAACCAATTTTGTACCTCCATCAAAACTCAGAGAGACTTACCTTGTGATGTTTGCCACTTTGCAAAGCAAAGAAGGCTTCCTTTTCCTTCCAGTCAGTCTGTAACCCATTCTGTTTTTGAACTTCTTCATGTCGACATATGGGGTCCCAATCCTGTTCCTACTTATGATGGATACAGATACTTCCTCACTATTGTAGATGACTTTTCACGAATGACTTGGATCATTTTGCTTGCTGCCAAGTCTGATGCTAGGCCTAAACTCATTGCATTCTGCAATCAAATGCAGAGGCAATTTCAAACTGTAATTAAAAGGATCAGAAGTGATCAAGGTAGTGAGTTCCATATGGAAGATTTCTTTCAATCAACAGGCATTTTACATGAAATGTTCTGTGTTGAAACCCCTCAACAAAACAGCAAAGTTGAAAGGAAACACCAACACATCTTAGCAGTAGCAAGAGCCCTAAAGTTCCAAGCCAATTTCCCTACCACTTTCTGGGGTGATTGCATCAAACATGCAGTGTTCCTCATCAACAGGGTACCATCTATTGTCATTCAGAACAAAACACCCTATGAACTTCTCTACCTCAAACCTCCAGACCTTACCAATTTGAAAGTTTTTGGTAGCCTATGTTATGCCAGTACTCTAGGAAATCACAGGACCAAATTCCAACCTCGAGCTAGGAAAGGTGTTTTCTTAGGCTACCCTGTTGGAATTAAGGGATACAGGATTTATGACCTCACTTCTCATGAAATTTTCATTTCCAGAGATGTCATCTTCTATGAAACAGAATTTCCATTCAAATATCCAGATTCAACTCCTCCTCCTTCTACTGATCCAACTGATCCAGATTACCTTTTTCCTATTCAATCTACTCATCCCACCATCTCAGATGATACATCTGATCCTTCCCTTGGTCATGAACATACTCCATCCACTCCTCCTTCACCTGATCAGAACCCTACTGAACTAATGCAAACACCATCTCCTACACCTTCTCCTGCTTCTTCCTCTTCTCCTACTTCTGATACTCCATCTTCCCAATCTACTCCTTCTCCTCCCCCACCTCCTCCTATTCCTCTAAGGAAATCTGACAGACATACTAAACCACCACCTCACCTTGTCAAGGACTACCACTGTTATTTGGCCAAGCAATCTAGCACCACCAGTCATTCCTGTTTGCAACCGATTCAAGACAAAAGGTTTGTTCTTTCCTCCCTACTCTCCTATGATTCTCTAGCTCCTCATTATAAACAGTTTGTTCTCAACATCTCTTCTCATCATGATCCTTCTTCCTATAAAGAGGCCTCTAAGTCAGAAGCCTGGAATGCTGCAATGCAGCATGAAATCAAAGCTTTGCTCAAAAATCAAACCTGGGATGTAGTGAATCTACCAGTTGGAAAGAAGCCTATTGGGAACAAATGGGTCTACAAAACAAAGTTTGAATCAGATGGCAGCCTTGATAGGTTCAGAGCAAGACTAGTTGCCAAAGGCAATTCTCAGCAAGAAGGTGTGGACTTTCAGGATACCTTTGCTCCAGTGGTCAAAATGACCACTGTCAGAACTTTTTTGGCCATTGCATCCATGAGAAACTGGCACATTCACCAGTTAGATGTCAATAATGCCTTCCTCCATGGAGACCTACAGGAGGAAGTCTATATGACATTGCCTAAGGGTTATGATCCACCTCCTGGTTTTATTAACCCAGTTTGCAAACTAAAGAAGTCTCTATATGGTTTAAAGCAAGCTTCACGCCAATGGTTCTCTAAGTTAACAGACAAGATTCAGACCCTGGGCTACATTCAAAGCATGGCAGATCATTCACTTTTCTTCAAGGTTACAGATTCCACCTACACTTGCATACTCATCTATGTTGATGATCTGTTAGTTGGAGGCAATGACCTAACAGAGATAACAAGGTTAAAACAGTTCCTTCATAATGAGTTCAGCATCAAAGATATGGGGAACTTGAGATTCTTTTTGGGAATTGAAGTGGCACGGAACAACAAAGGCATTCATTTATCTCAAAGAAAGTACACACTGGAAATTCTGGAAGAAGCTGAGTTGCTGGATTCCAAGGGTGTTACAACACCAATGGACTACAAACTACATCACTCAAGTCAGGTTGAAACACCATATGAAGACCCTGAACATTATAGGACTCTTGTTGGCAAGCTGATTTATCTGACTACTACTAGGCCTGACATCAGTTTTGCTACTCAGCAACTCAGCCAGTTCATGTCTAATCCAAGCACAGTACATTACAAGGCTGTACTAAGAGTTCTACGCTACTTGAAGACAGCTCCTGCAACAGGACTCTTCTTCCCTTCCAAAGGATCTTTTCAGTTAAAGGCTTTCACAGACTCGGATTGGGCAGCATGTATTGATACTAGGCGCTCCACCACAGGTTATTGTGTTTACCTTGGTGACTCTCTTATCTCGTGGAAAAGAAAGAAGCAAAAGACAGTCTCTCGGTCATCTTGTGAAGCTGAATATCGAGCCCTGGCATACACAACTTGCGAGATCCAATGGTTATTGTTTCTCTTGAAGGACTTCCAGATTGAACATCCGAAGCCAGCTGCTCTCTTCTGCGACAATCAAAGCGCCATCTATATCGCCCAGAATCCCACGTTCCACGAGCGCACGAAGCACATCGAGCTTGATTGCCACCTCGTGCGTGAGAAGATCCAATCTGGTATTGTCAAACTGCTCCATGTCTCCTCCAATCATCAATTGGCTGATCTATTCACCAAGCCCTTGTCGCCTGCACCATTTCAATTGCTTTTCTCCAAGCTTGGTGTGCATAATCTATGCCCACCAGCTTGCGGGGGGGGGGGGGGGGGGGGGGGGTAACAGCAAATGCAGATTTGCAACTTTCCCAATCTCCAATTTCAAACCCAACGGCTCTCTCCTGATCAATGAAGAAGAAGACTGAAGTGGCGTCGTTTCTGGGTTCGAGTTTGCTGTTGTCTGCGACGCTGTCGTTTTGTTTAGTTTCCTTTGCTGTTGCTGAACGTTGTCGTTTCAGACTTTCGTCTTTACCTTTGCTTACTGCACAAGCACTTTGTTTCCAAACCAAGCTACCAAACAAGATTGTGGAGCTGGTTGTCTTCTTGCTTGTAATCAGCCTATATAAGGCAGAGATGAAATGAAAGAGAACAAGTCTTAGGGTTTTCAGTTCAATCTGGTTGTTAATCTCGTCAGCGAGATGAACTCGGGAGACGCGGGAGCTCGGAAAACCCATCTCGACAGCCGGAGAGTCTCTAGGGAGGACTTTTTTAGAAGGTCGCCGATGAAGAAGAAATCCGCTCCGTCAACCTGAGCAGAGACGGACAGATCCTGAAGCCGCCGCCCCGGCAAGACGACGTCGTAGTGTCGCATCACGAGGCTGGGCACCGCCAGCGAGTTGGTGGCCTTGAAGTGGAAGCTGACGGTGGTCGGCAGGGCGGCGGCGCGGCGGCGGAGGGAGAGGAGAAGGTTGTCTGCGTGTTGAATGTAGCCCGGCAGGTCGCTGCAGTGGAAATTGAGGGTAAGTGTGTCTTTCCACAAGGTCCGCCATGCTTTCCGCAGGGCGCTGGTACGGAGAAGGGATTTGGTGTCGAGGAAGGAGAGAATGTGGAGGAAGACGTGGTCCGGAAGATCATCCAACTTCTTCGCGTGGCTCGTTTTAGGGTTCTTCGGTTCTCTCTCTTCCGCCATGATAACTTATTTTTCTTCTTCTTCTTCCTGTTCTTAATTAAACCTGGGAAACGGCAATCACATGGACGGCTGTCCAACGGGATGGATATATTTATGTACTGTGATTCTGTGAAACAGGGGGAAACCTAATCCCGTTAGTACTTGGATGTTGATTGGGATTTAGTTGGGGTGTTTTTTTTATAATTAAAGTTGAATAAATAGTCTACTCTCTACTGTATTAGAAAAATGTTTGAGTTGTAAAATTTACATCATGAAAAGGTTTGGTTCATGGGATCATAATGATCTGAGTTTTACAGATCGTGTAGCATCTGAGGAAGACGATAAGCAAATCTCCTTACTTAATATATTATAGGTATTCAAAACTAAATTAGTGCCACATAAGCACATGACTAGCTCTTCATTCTTCATTCATTTAATGTGGACAACTTCTAATTATAACACAGTTAATTTCCAATTAATGCAATTTTTTTGGGTTTCTTCTATAGAGGTGACAATTCTCAATCCAATCCAATCCACCAATCCATTAAAAATATTCACATAATCCAATCCATTTAAATCCAATATATTTGATCCAAATCCAATTGGATTGGTGGATTAATGGATCAATCCATGGATCCAAATGGCAAATTACAGTTTGGTAACCATACTTTTTATATTTTACATTTTGGTACCCAAAATTTTATTTTTTCTACGAAAATATCATTGAAAAATTACATTCTGGTACCTAAAATTTTTCATTATGACATTTTAGTACCTAAACTTTTCACATTTTGCATATTGATCCTTGGTTGAGGATGTCATTTGGATTCATGGATTGGATCAAGTGGATCCAATCCATTTGATCCATGGATCCACCAATCCCTGGATCCAATCCATTTGTCACCTCTATATCTTCTATCTTTTTGTTGGGTTTCTTCTAGGGGTGGGCATCCTGTTCGGGTTTACCGAACCGACCCGAACCGAAACTGAAATACTAATATTCGGTTCGGAATTCGGAAGGAAAATCTGGATAGTTCGGGAACCAGGGTTCTTTCAACCGAACCGAGGTTCCGAATTCCCGACCAAAAAACCGAAATATATTACATAAGCCCAAAACTATCCCTATTCCCCCAAGTTCCAGAGCCCAAATGAAACCCCTAACAGCCTAACTCTCAAAGCCCAAATGAAACCTAACTCATTTAGCCCAATCAAAACCTAACTCCTACAGCCCACAACAGCACAACCCTCTTTGACCTGCCTCCCCTCCTACCTCACATCGCACCGCCGCGGCTGCAACTACGACTTCGCTTCATCAAATGCAGTGGCGACCTGAGCAGCCATCTCCGACCAGCCTCCCCTTCAAACGCTTCGCCGACAACCACATGAAGACGGCACGACCTACTGGAATAAACCAATGGCGATGGCAGGGGAAGATCGGCGTTGCATGCGGTGAAACTCGTGGTGGAGGTCTTGAATGTTTTAGATCTGATAGGAGATTGAAGCTCGACAGCCTATTCTGGTTCTCGACCCTATCGATCTTTGAGATCTGATTCTCGTTGAGCTTGTCATTGAAGATAGAGGAGATGACGGTCGAGATTGGAGAATCGGGGAGTCAAGGAGATGAGATGATGGTCGTCGGTAGAGTTGGGCGAGTCTGGGAGAGAGGGAGAGAAGATGATGGTCGAGTAGAGAGGGAGATGTGACGAATGACGATGGTAGGGATTGAGAGAGTGAGCGGAGAGGCCAGAGTCGGAGATCTGTTGGGTTTGGGGGAGTCGGAGATCGAGGGAGAGAATGGACAGGGAAGTCAGAGATTGAGGGAGAGAGCGGAGAGGTAAGAGCCGGAGAGAGGGATTGTGGGCAGCTGTCTTGTGACCCTAATCCAAAAACCCTAATGAAAGGGGGCAATGAATAAAATGAGGCGGCGGTGGTGGTAATAGATGCTATTTCGGGTTGGGGTCTTAAAACCGAACCAGACCGAAATATAATTCGGTTCGGCCAAACCGAACCGAATTATATTTCGGTTCAAATTCGGTTTGACCTTAGGGAGAAGTCGGAAACCCGGTATACCCCTTTTCAGTTCGGTTCAAACCGAACCGAAGCCCACCCCTAATTTCTTCTATTTCTAGAATTTATCTTCTTTTACTTTTTACACAATGATACAAGAAGGAAATAATACAACATATGCAATTTTTGTTTGTTTGTGGATAATAGGAAGGGAGGAAGGTTGTCAACCCGCGGGTTGACCCGGACCCGGTCGAGCTAGTGGGTCAAGGGTTAATGGGTCAACCGTTTTAGCCCGGTTTGACCCGGAAATATAGAAAGAGTCATTATATTGTACTTATCCTCATAAATTATATCAAATCTTATCTAACATATGAGTTATAACATATAATATTACACCAAAATAACATATCGTACTTAGATCCAACATATAGTGAAAATTCACACACACTTCTATAACGGCTTAATTGCAAGTTTGGTCACTCGAATTGCTTAAAAATTTCACGTTTGCCACCCGAATTGATTTATTCCATTCATAGTCACTCGAATTAGTTGAACAGTCCAAGTTCGGTCACTCTCCGTTAACCTCCGTTAGACTCCGTTAATGACGACCGTTAAGTGATGACGTGGCTAACAGAAAGACACAGTCATCACATTTAAACATTAAAAAACGACGACCCGACCCGACCCGCCAGCTCACCCTTACCCGCCCAGTCAGCCATTCTTGCCCAAACCCGCGAACCAACCCAATTAATTGACCCTAAACCCAAACCCGAGACCCAACCCCCCCTGAATTGTAAATCACAGACGACAACAACTCGTTCTCATACCGCCGTGGTGGCATCGGCGGGCACGGCAGAGTAGGAGCAGGATCCGGACCAGGATAAACGACCCGAGCAGATTCAGAGGACGTCTTGCTCTTATTCCGCGGGGACAAACTCGCGGGAGGAGAAATGCTAACCGACTGAGACCTCGCCGGAGATCCAGACGACGAATCGGAAGAACAAGAAGTCGAATCAGTAGTTCCCCCTTCTCCAAAATCCGGCCCCGGCCCACCCATATCCCGAAACATCCTACTCGACCCGGATCCGGCCCCGACCGAACTATCCCTCCCTCCGCCGCCCAACGACCCTCTGGGAGAATAAAACTCATCTTCCTCATCATCCTCAGGGGACCCAAAACCATCCGGATTCTGCCGATTCAGCGGCCGGAGCGGCCGGAGCTCCGGCGAATCCATCTTCCCCACGACGAGAGACTCAACGGCAGCAGCAGGATTCGACCCGCCACCATCCCCAATTCCATGGGAATTCACAAGCGTCCCGAGATACAGAAACTCCAAGCTGATATTCGTGGGGCGGAGCTTGTGCCTGGATCCGGAGCCCCGATCCGGATTCACGGCATAGAACCGGCTGCTGCTGTGGCGGTTGGATGAGGCATGGGTTTTGGCATCGTGACCGGGAGGTGGTTCGTTGGCACTCCTCCGGCGGCGGCTGAAGTAGAAGGCAAGAACGGCGGAGACGATAACAGCGGCGGAGAGGAAGGAGAGGGAGAGAGCGAGTAGCTTGTGGGAGGAAGAAGGGGGTTTTGAAGAAGGGGATTGAGGGAGGATCAGTGACGAGATGTTGGCCGGGAAGGAAGCGAATGTGGAGGGGGACGGCGGTGGAGGCGGGGAAGGGTAGGTCGGGAAGAATGGGGAGGCGGGATTTGTGGCGGTTGGGGTTCCGGTGTTGGAGAAAGGGAGTTTCGCCGGCGGCGTAGGGGGAGGCGGTGGTGGGGGAAGGGATGAAGGGGATGGTGCGGGTGGGAGGGTGTCGAGCGCGAAGAAGGGTTGGTGGAGAATGCGGCGGACGGGGAAAGCGGTGGAGCGGCGGTGGAGGAGGCAGAGGAATAGGAAGAAGAAGACGAAGACGAAGGAGGAAGGAATGGGCATTGTGTGAGAACGTGAAAAAGACTCCGCCTTTGCTCTCTCTGTTTCTTCCTCTCGGAGCTCAGATGAGAGCTGAGTGAAAAGGGAAAGGGGGAAAAGGGAGAGATTGGGGAAAAGGGAGAGAAGGGAAATGCCCTAATCCATCTGCGATTTACAATTCAGGGGGTTGGGTCTCGAGTTTGGGTTTAGGGTCAATTAATTGGGTTGGTTCGCGGGTTTGGGCAAGAATGGTTGACTGGGCGGGTAAGGGTGAGCTGGCGGGTCGGGTCGTCGTTTTTTAATGTTTAAATGTGCTGACTGTGTCTTTCTGTTAGCCACGTCATCACTTAACGGTCGTCATTAACGGAGGTTAACGGAGAGTGACCGAACTTGGACTGTTCAACTAATTCGAGTGACTATAAATGGAATAAATCAATTCGGATGGCAAACGTGAAATTTTTAAGCAATTCGAGTGACCAAACTTGCAATTAAGCCCTTCTATAACATAAATATTCATCGAAGGAAGGCAGAAGAGGCGGAAGAGAGAAATGCGGCAGAACCCTCTCTCTGTTCTCTTTGTTTTAGACTTTAGAAGCTTCAAAAGGAATTGCCAGCGAAACCCTAATGGGCCGTTTAGTTGCCATTCCATTTCTATTAGCTGTCACAACAGAAAACAAAATTGAAATGAAAACGAAGCTGTCATTTCCTGGAAAACAAAACCTGAAAAAACCTTGTTTAGCTGAGAATTTTGGTGAGTTCTAAAACTGAATTCTGAAAATGAAAACATGTTTAGTTGCTTCATATTGTTTTCTGATTCTTGAATACCACAATTTTGTTCATTGAGTACCATACAAACCTAGCCATGATTATAATTCGAATTAAATAGTTTTTAAACTACAAATAAACACAATACAAGTACAACATCTTATATTAACTAAGTACTAGTACAACATAAAAATTCAAATAAGTCCAGTTTGAAAGCCATGCCACAACTTGAGTATCATACAACTCTAGTCATGATTATATATTTTAACACGAATCAATAGTTTAACCACTAATAAACACAATACATGTACAAACAATGTACATAGTAGTTTATTTTTTATATGAT